ATTTTACTAATACTTTCAGTTTTAATTTCCAAATTGGATTGAAGATGCCTTTGAATCACTCTTCTGAGTCAGTGTTTCCATGTCTTTACCAGATATTGACCTTTCTGCCTTGAGCCTTTGGTTGTGTGAGTTTTGGAAGAAGCTTCTAATGTGCATGACAAAACATCCTGGGTTCCTCCCTCTCCTCTCGTTTCCGTTTCTTTAGCCGCACTTCTTACATTTAATCCTATTTTTATGCCTCTATCTTTTTCAAAATCACTGATTCATCACTTCTTGGTGCTCATCAGAGTTATTCTGAGTTACCAGATGTGTACTGTGGGTATCATCCTGTCATTTCTGCTACGTGTTTCTTGTGGCGTTCTCCTCCCGTCTTGTTGCTGTTTTCAAAATCCCCCTTCACTTTGGAAAACAACAACCTCCAAGCATCAATAATACAACTATATGAGTCAGACATTCAGCATACATTTTATTTACAGCTAGATGGAAATTGCAATGTTTTTTTTGTAAAACACCTTATAATCTCAGCTTTGAAAGAGGCTAAGTAGGTAAAAGTTTTATTTACTTATCCATTTATTGGATCTAAATTTACTTCAGCTGAAGGATCAAAACAGCTTGTGAATCCCAGGAAAGTTCTTAAAGCCATACTGACATATTTAGGGTTGGCAAATTTTTAGTTTTTTCTCTTAAAAATTACTTAAACTGATTGACTAATTGTCAGTATAGTTGGGAATAAATTCAATAGTTGATAACAAATTGGTTAATCGTTGCAGCCCTACTGCTGAGCACATTCTTGCTAACCAGAGAAGATAATAATCAACACTGCAGCTCCAGAGGTAACTACTGAGATTTTAGAGGTTTCTCTAAGCATATTTTTTTGCCGTTTCAATCAAATTCCTCTCTGATCACCTCAATCCTGATTACACCACTTTGTTTTTGTCTTAAGGGAAATGACTTGCTCTCCTTGAGGAGTCCTTCATCATGCAGCCAGGGAATATCAGATTTCCTGAAGCTACTTTTGAGTACACGTCATTTCTTTCCAACTAATTTAAAAACAGTTGTCTTTGGTTGCTATCGACCATGAGGGAGCTTTTTTCCTGATTGCATGAAAACAATGGTAATGTTCTGACAATTCCTGCAAATGCCCATCCCCTTATCTTGCTATTGTAGTGTGAAGATGTCGTGGTAAATCAAAGTTCACTGTAGACTAGAAGAAAGTTGTGGCTGTATGAATGTAGCAGGGTAGCTGCAGAGGGAGGAAGGGTGACACATTTACATACATATTATGCACCCACCACTAGTGAGGACTTGTATTATTGGCCAATGAGTGGATCCCGTGGGAGATGGAGCTTAATTCAAAGTCTTAATGAGGTTAGAGCTAGAGGGACTCCATCTACAGCTGTCCCTTGTGAGGAGGTGATGACATCATCACTGGGAATCCCTCTACCAGCTGTCCTCTAACATACCATCACCAGGAAGTGTGCTGAGTGTGAATCATGTGCCACAGTTAAGCTTTTAGGTTTTTCAGTTGATCACCCGGATTTAAAGTTCCCACCCTCTTAATGACAATAAAAATCTCAGCTTTATTTGACTTGACAACTCTTCTCCTGACTGTCAGATGTTTTTATTTGGGGCTGTGCGGAACACCGGTTTGAAATCAGAGATGGTAGCTAGTGGCTTGGATCTACCTCCTGTCAGAGGTGCTACAGACCAGCCAAGTGTCAAGGCTCAGACACAGGCTTAAACAGTCATTAGTAGCCTAGTATTTTTTCTCTATGTGTTGACAGCTTTGTTTGTGCTTTTTTTTTTTTTTTGCATAGCCAGCCTAAATGTGTATGGATTTGATGAATGAACTGCAGTTGCCGTGATATAGCTGGGATGTAAGCTCAAACCACCGCTGTCCATCTGTTTTCAGTCTCTCTGATCTTTTTTTTTTTTTTTTTTTTTTATACAGCTGTGGAACTCTTGCAATCCTGTCAGGTTTCTCACTTGTATCTTTAAAGCGCAGCAAAGCTGTTTTAATTCGGTTCTCGATCTTTTGACTCTTGAGCTTCTGTTGTTTTCGCTGCAGGGTTTTCTTGTTAGTTTGTGGATCATACTTAGTTCAGATCAAGTCTTAGTTTAGTCATGCAACATTTTGGAAAATATGCTTGTTTTTGGTAAATATGCTTGTTTTGTTTTTTGCTGAGAGTCAGATGCCAATATAGTCCTGCAAAGCCATTCTGCAGGACAGAGTAGTCTGGTTGCACCTTATAATAATTCTGCTATATGGGAAAAACTGCTCGGGCAAACTATCCAAATCCTCTGTGAAACTTTTCAGTGAGGTACCTCGCTGCCTGGAGGTTGTTGGTGGTGTTGTTCCTCATTGTGAAGTGGATTTTAAAAACAGTAGCACATGGATATCAGAAGGGGAGGGGAAAGCTGTGTGAAATACACAGCCAAGAACAAGACTGCAGCCAGCAGCTGGATAGCCTAGCTTAGCATTAAGACAAGAATGGTGAGTAAGTTTTTCCGCAGGTAACACAATCTAGCCAAAACAAAAAATTGTGTTTTCTGTTGGGGCTATGTACCAGACTATTTTTGGAGAAGAAAGCATTCGATTGTGTTAATTAGTGGTCTTTGAGGTTACCTGTGGTCATAGCCAGGTTAGCTGTGTTAGGGTTGTGCTGTTGTTCTCCTCATCTGACTCTCTGCAAGAAAGCACATTTTTGTATTTCTCAAAATGTGGAAATATTTCTTAAAGGGAGTGGAATACTGAGTATTTATTTGTGGTTTTGCTCAATTCGACTCAGCGCTTTGTCTTGGCCTCTCTGCCCCTCTTTTTTATCTGGACTGGCAGTTCATGACCCACAAATGAATGCTCCTCTCACACCTCCACCTCCAGCTGTCCGAGGCATGTGTTATTGCAGTGAATAAAACGCTGGGACAGGAAGTGACAACACTCAGGAATGCTAGTATAACGCTCTACTTGGCCTCCAGGGGATCGGCACTGAGAGGGAATGAATAAGGAGGGATTTAAGTGAGGAGAAGAAAGAGGAGTGCACCGTTCTAGCTCCTCTCCACCCTGATGGAGAGGAGCTAGAAGAAAAGGGTTTCCAAGAACAAGAGGAAGGAATTTACAGCTGAGAAAGGAGATGCTGAACTCCAACAGACCCCTTGTGGGCCCCTGTTTTTCTGACCAGAACTGTAAGGAAGCAGCAGAAAATGAGGGTTAAACCAGTGCTAAATGATGAAGGATTATCTGAGAGGCATCTAACAATTTCTTGGGAAGGTGAAGGGATTAAAGGGGGGAAAGAGGTGAAAAGTAGGTGGATTCTGAGACAATTTTACCTTGGAAAACTGGAAGTAGGAAGAAAAAAAAGACTTGTGGAGTAAAAATACAAAAAGGAAGGCAAACAGGAGGAAAATAAATGTAGTTATAATATTTACCTTCTCTTTTTCTCAGATAAAACAGCGGATTGTATAATGAAAACAAGTGTAGGAATGCAGAAAACCACCTCTGCAGATAACTATGTACAAACACGGGAACTCCCCCGATTTCTTCTTATTTTTCTACATTTTTAATCCACATTCCTACAGGCTTATGTAAGCAGTGTGTGGTGAAGTGTGTCGGCGTTGCTCACAAGCGTGTGTGTATGCGTGTAGCTTCTAGCGAGTGTGTTAATTCACGATTTAACCCAATTTTTTTTCGTGCATGCCGTCACAGTCCTTGAGAGTAGTCTTTATTTTATCAGCTCAGCTTCATTTACTGGACTAACAAAAGCTGTACTGGGAAGATTGCTGTTGGTTATACACACACGCAGACATACACACAGTGGTGATTTGAGTATCTGCGTCATCGGGTGTTGGTAATTGCTATGAGCTTTGTTACAGAGTTCTATTTTCTCCCCTGCTATTACACCTAAACGGCGTACGTCTCGTAGTTTACAGCTCAGAATTATAGCACTCTGTCCAACCAGTTTAATTTTATTGTTTCTTTTAAAAACAAGATGTGTGTGTGTCTGTGTGTGTCTGTGTGTGTGTGCGCCTGTGTGTGTGTGCCTGTGTGTGTGTGTCTTTTTCTGCTTTCATGTTAATGGGCGGATGATGCCGAACTGTTACCAGTGTGTCTTTATTCTGTGTACAGAATCTGACAGCTTTGTACAAATCGTTTTATGAAGCACGTACCTCTAAACTCTCAGGAGGAGATAGATGACGGCAACATGTACTACATTTGTTCCCTACAAGCCCGTGACCGTCGGTACAATTAAAAATATTTGAGGTTTGGTGGGCACCAAACTTTACCAGTCCTGCATATTTTCAAAGCAGGGTGGGAGTCTGATTGCTCACCCTGGCGGTGCCGGCGCCATGCTTGGCACGTGTAGAGATGTGCATTTTTGAGAGTTATAAGGAATGGGATTGAGCAGGTAGAGAGGATACAATTTCAAGAGTATTGGAAGAGGATGCAGTGTATCTCAGTTGGATTTTTACTCTTCCTGTTAGAGCTCTTAGTGTCTTTCCAGGTGTGACAGTCAGGCTGGGAGATATACAAAGATTTGTGTAATGATAGAAAAGACCTATTAATATTGTGGATTTTTGATCATAGCAAAATGGTGTAATATACTTTTTAATGTGTAAAATTTGCAAAAAAAAAAAAATTCAGGCATTATTTACACCAACAGTTATACCCCAAATGAATCAGTTTCCCCCCCAAATCAGTTTATTTTTATGCTGTATTTTAAAAGATACCCATCTAATAAAGCTATACTCCTTTGTACTAAAAAGACAGTTTCATTTTTCAGCATAAAAATGGTTACACCCATTAAATTCATGCCAGAAATACTTTACATAGCTAGTTTGTTTCTGCAGTGTGGCTGTCTCTTGCACCTTTTGCTCTTGGGATGTGGCGTGGCTGCTGGCTGTGAAATCTTATAAATTAGCGGATTACTCTGCTCCACTGGTCTTGTCACTGCACAGTGTAAATCTTCGCAGAGTCGTGCATTTCCTTGACTGGTCCTTCGCAGCTATGGCACCCCTGGCGTGGAGTTCACAGGACTACACAAAGACACCACTGCCGTCACACAGATCCACTTCCTGCCTGGACAGGTGAAGCCAGTTTTCTCCTGAATGTAAAAATAGTAAAAGAAAAAAAACACCAAATCAGTCCTCTAGCAGTGTGAGTCAAGTGATGGTCATAGAATAAACGTCTGCTTCGCTCTCAGGGGCGTCTTCTGTCGCTGTTGGATGACAACACGATTCACCTGTGGGAGCTGGTGGCCGGGTCCCCCAGAGAGGTAGGAGGAGTTAAGAAAGAGGGTGTGATCTCTCTGCAGGAAGTCGACAACTACAGTCTCCCAGGACGACCTGGCATTGAAAGCTGCAGGTACACAAAGCTGTTTTATTGTTTCAGATCTTTCTTTGTCTTTTGCCTTTAAACATACCTGCAAATCAGTGTCTGATTTTAGTGTCAGCCAGGTCATTCATAGTGCCCATAGAAATGTCTGTAGAGAGAGTTTTCTGTGATTGTACATCATCTGTCTTTGCTGTGAGATCATGTCTCCCACTTAATCAATCCTCGTTCTGAATGTGGCTGTGAGACTTGTGTTAATGTTCAGCTTCTATTTTTCTTTTCAACATTATTGCAACTCTTGTCATGTTTGGAGGCCACAGTGCAGCGTTTTATTTAGTTAGGCCAAACAAAAGAATGATTGTCCATCAGCTTAACTGGTAGGAGTAGTTAACTAAATTACCAGCCGTGGAAAGTAAATAGAGCTTTACTCGATACTTTAAATTTGTACTCAGAATGTGGCCAGTTCAGTTGTACTTCAACAGGATGTCTTACACAGACAAGTTAAGAAATAAAATTCTCGTTCGCTAAGCCTTATGGGTGAACAGATTATTTTGTTGTTGTATTGTAATCTAAAAATGCTCCAAGATTTTCTGCTGGGCGAGAAAACCCCTGGACTCCTCGACCTGATTTTAGTTTTCTTGCCACCTTTATACTGCTCTATAGTTTATAGATCTGCTTTAAAGGAAACTGTGGATTTTGGAGTACAACAGTTTACCCCTCGCCCTCTTCTCTCACTCTGGCTGTTTTTTCTAGAGTCTTGTGGTTGTGCTTGTCAGTTTAATCAGTTTGTCAAAAAAGGCAGATACCTCCTAATCCATGTATGGGAAGCGAAACCCGTCCTGACTGCAGCTTTGTAACTTTTTTTTTTTCTTCTCCTTCTTGTTTCTCTCAGTGCCACTCGGGTGACCGTCCTCCTCTTGCTGAAGTCGTGCGACCTGCTCTGCATCGGAACAGAGGGCGGAGGCGTGTACTTCCTGGAGCTGCCCTGCCTCTCGCTGAAAGAAAACCAGACGCTGCTGCAGGATCAGGTCACGCAGAGGTGAGACGATCGCATAAATGACTTCACATGAACAAAAGGTCATTGAATAAATATAAAATAGAGTGAGTCCCGAGTACGAGTTGAGCAAAAAGTTGTGTAGATTGTTGACTAACACAGCTGGTAAGTTTGATATGGCACTGGAATCAATTCGTACATTAGTGTTGGTGTTTTACTCAGTTTTTCAAAGTAAAACAGATGATCACTCTTAAATATAATTGTACATAAAAAACACTACACTATCAACACATATGAAAGCCACATTCCATTGTATTCTTCATGTCGTTGTGTTTATTGCAGAATATCACATTATAATGAGCAAGTGTAATCAGCACTTCATCCTATTTAGTTCTTCTTTTTCTCTGTCCAAATGTCTCTTATTGACTTTTCTGCACCGTCTTCATTCTCTCTCTCCACCCCCGTCACAGCACGTCTTCCTTTAAACACTAAACACTCCAGTTTCCTCCTCTCACACATCCAGCTGAGCAGGGCAGACACACACACACGTGCACACACACACACACACACACACACACACACACACACACACACACACACACACACATATGCTTGCAGAGACAAATATCCTTGTTGACCCTATCAGCAGCAGGCAGGTCAGGTCCGTGGAGTTCAAGGTCCACCAACACAGTCAGGTCTTTTTGAGAGCAAGAAATATCTGGTAATGAAAAACTAAAGGATAGTATTCTCTGCAGCAGTTTGGCACGTTGTACTTAATAATGCAAGTTTTCGAGGTGTAGTTAGAGTGAATAGCACTGAATCCATTAAGATAATAATGTTTTTGCAGTGTTTCCTCCAGGAGTTTTTTCAGCGGGGGGAGCAGGCTCCCCGGGGAGCCGTGGTGGCGTAAACAAATGACATTTGACTGCAGATTTTACTTTTACAACCTATTTATTGAATGGCCAGTTAAAAATGGCTTTTTAAAGGCTGAATGTAAAAATGAAAAAATAATGAATAAATGTTTTTTTAATAAGAGCTCTAAGGCTCTGTTGTAGGGAAATTCCCTGAGAGGTGGCCGCTGATGCTCGGCAGCAGACATGATCCAAGCTGATCCCCTGAAGCCTGTTTCTCTAGTCAGTCTTCACCTACAAACAGAAACAATAATGAGATTGTTTCTCTCATTTTCCCACACCCTAATCATTTTAAAAATGTTTCTAGTTTGTGTCTGACGATATATTATTACACTATGTTTTTTTTTTACCTGACCATCATCATTTATGTGTCAATAAAAGGCTAATGCTACCTGGCTAGCTTCATCTTCATCAGATGTCTTTAAATTTTTAGAGAAATATTTGAACAAGCTCATCTGAAGATGCAGTCAGCAGTTCTATCATGGCGTGTAGATATTAGCTTAATGCTATCAGTTAGTTTACTCACGTTAGCCACACTGAGTTGGCACCAGGCCCAATTACCTTAAGAAACCGATATGTTACGTAACGTTAGCTGGCCGTCAATATTTTGCGAATGTCCATTTAACTTGTAAAATTTATTGTGAGTTACCTTAAGCTAATAAGTCTACGTTTTCTCCGGTAAGTTGCTGCCCTATTCTCCAAGACGACCCTCCTCTGACTCAAACCCCTTTTAATTAATTGATTAGATTTATATAGCGCTTTTCTTACTCAAGGAGTAACTCGAACTGCATACAATCAATTGTCAACTATTAATTCACACACATTCATTTCGGTGGTTGTAGCTACGGTTGTAGCCACAGCTGCTCTGGGACAGACTGACAGAGGCATGCCTGCCATTCTGCGCCTACGGCCCCTCGATCACCACCTCAAACAATCCATTCACGACCATGACACAGGTTACAGGGCGGAATGGAATCACCAACCTTCTGATCATTGACCGACTCGCTCTACCACCTGAGCCACCTGAGAAGAACCAGGTGCTAGTTCCAGTGCTTAGTTGGTTCAAATCTGGCACCTCCAAAGAACCGGTCACTTTTCCATTGGCCAGGAGCCAAGTTAGAGCCACGCCGTACGTGACTGCGTACGTAGCCGTTTACCAAACAATGCTCGTGCCACATGGATGTCCACACAGGACTCCAGACTGACTCTTTTTAAAAAATTTTTATTTTAACCGGTGCGACCAACTTTCTCATTTGTTCGTACTGCCCACCTTGTCACAGGCAAAACATATGACCGGCTGAACATTTTCTTAACTCTACAATTTACGATGTTCCTTGAACACCCCACATAGCAGGCTGTGGTAGCTGCTGTTGTGGCTGCGGTGCTCAGACCGATGTGCGACCAAAGATGACTTTAAAACGAGTAAAATATGGCGTTCTAATGTCAGATTTGTCCAAGATGAAACAGTCATTTTTTCTCATGCGGTCTTTTCTGTGAGCGGAATAAACAGCATCACTTTGAAGGCCGCGCTCTCGCGAGCAAATAACGCTGTATTAACCCCCAGAGAGTAGAGACTGAGCAAGATAGTTATGTGTAGGTTACCGTAGTAGTCGCGAGTACCTGACCCAGAGCAGGACTCTGCTGTGAAGGTGGAGACATGCGGCAGTGGTGTATTTGCAACAACAAAAAAAAGAAAAAGAAAGAAATTTGAAGGCTCTGCATCGAGGATTTAGGAATGGCGGGCCGCCGCTGCTAAATGAATGTAGAGGAAACACTGCTTTGGTTGGACTGGGCAGTCAGTTTTGGGACATGTACAAGAAATCGTGGATAGGAATTCAAGCAAATAAAACTAAATAACATACAGGACAATAACATAGCTGCAGTAAATTCCAGTGAAGTTAAGCTGAAAAAAAGGAGGAATTTTCTGAGCTATTTTTTGCCCTCACAGCTCATTTAAAGAAATCTTGACTGTCACACTTCCTTTAAACTCCTTTAAAAACCTCTTGTATAAGCACACAAATTTCCCCTGAAGTTACAGTTTACTGTTCAAACCCTTCACATGGGAAGTTTCTGTATTAGTGTTGTTGTCTTTGGTCTTTACACAAACTGGAAGTGGACTCATTCAGTTTTGTGCACAAATCTGAACTTAACATTTGACTTGTGATTCTGTTGTCTGGCAACTATCGATCAGATCTGATCAATACACACCCACGCAGTCCCAGTGAAGAAGACTAAGTGAGTTTTGGAGTTTTAAAAGTCTTAGTAAATATGTACCAGCTATTTTTTCCTCAACATTAACTTTGCGTGTTGCTTTTTTTTAAGTTAACATAGTGGAGGAAAAACTTTGAAACCTAGTTTGCAGACATTTTACATTTCACAGTGGTTCGTAGACTGTGTGTGTGAATGCATCAGATGGAAATACAAACTTATGTAATTTAGCACAAGGGAATGACTCACAATTAATAATATATCAAAACACCAGAACACGGCAGAAGCAAAGAGGAATACAGGTCACCAGTACTGAGAGATAGGCCTTTAACTGTATTACTGCAGGGCTGTTGTGTTGTAAGATGTTTCCTTTATTTTGTGCAGCCCCTCTGTGATCGTGTAGTTCGCTGTGCAGCGATGTACGAGAGCTCAGCCGTGAACAAGATCAAAACACTGTGTGAGGGGAGCACGGACGCAGATCTGCTGCACAAGCTGGGAATGTGCTGTTGTTATAGAAGTATACGCAACATTGCATGATAGGAAACAATCTGTTTAAATAAAACATACACGCTTAAGTGTTTATTTTTTCTTTTATGTTTCATGCTGGAGCCTTCCTTGCCGAATTCCTGTGTTGACACACTGGCAGCGTGTCAGTGCTTCAGTTGTGTTTTTCTTTTTTATTCTGCTGTGTGACTGTCTGACTGGTCGGCCAAACCCCTCATTAAGCGGCTTCTTTAGGGAAGTGAGCAGAAGCGAAGCCTAACGAGGGCCCTGAGAAGACGTTTGTGTGTGCGTTTGTGTGCGTGGTGGGTGCAAAGACGGGGAGGCTTTAGACAGTGAAGCTTTGTACCGGCTGCCAAAACGCAGTGTTCCGGTTGGGGAAGTGTTTCAGCTGAATCTCCAACGTGCACATGCACAGGGACACACACACACACGGGAATATACACACACAGCACACAGAGGCTCATCACCGGGACTCTGTAGCAGGATGCTGGATTCCCTAAAAATACTTATGAACGGAGAGATGGAGACAATGGAATGCTTTGTTGGGAATGTTTCTGCCTCTGTGCTTCCGGAGAGGATCTTCCTCAGTGAACCCCACCGCAGCAGTTTGTGTGTGCGTATGTTTGACCCAGGCTGACTGTCTCTCGAGCGATGGTTCTGCTTCAGCCGCACTAAAGAGTCCAGGACGCTGCAGTGCCTTCTTGTCCTTTCCCATTTTATTTCTCTGCACTTTCTTCTCCTATCTCCTTCTCCCTCATCCCTCTCTTTTTTCCCCCCATCCTTTGCCAAGGGAATCCTCTGACATCTCGAGGGTGTGTCCTGCTCCACATTCCTCTGCTGCCTCAGAGGAATGTCTAGTTCATAAAGCTCCAGCAGCTCAGCTCCAGCGTAATGTTGATTTCACTCTTGTTGTTGTTGTTGGAGGGGCAGCCTGTGCAGCAGTGCTAGTTTGTACAGATGGTTTGTGCTTGATTATATTATGATCCATGTTTTACACTTTTGGAGTTTTGCTTTGGGTTGTTTTGGTACAGAAGAATAGGAAGCTTTTTTCCTGTAAAACAGGATGATGATGCACAGATATCTTTCATAACTCCTGTCATCTTATCATATTTCACTTTCTATTAAGATGTGTTCCAAGATTTGTGACTCTGCTATTCGAACAGATATTGCCCTCCTAAATCCCAGTTTAACATGAGTTTAAATATCCATTAATGATAACAAATGTTAAGTTCATTCTTTGAACTGTAGGAGCTGTTTCTCACTTGTCATCATGAAGTCACTGTGTGAGCAAAATATGGAGATTAGGTAACATGATAACACATGGTTGTAAATTTTAGGGCAGAGTAAAATATCTCTCTCTGCTTGGAGATGGTCTCTCGTGTTGCAGATTAATGATCTTCTTGACCTTACGACAATTGTGTCATTAAAATTTTATCGCTAGCTTTTAAGGCCTTGAATGGCTCTCCTTGTACATTTCTGAGTTATTGACGTGGTATGCGCCCTTTTGGTTGCTAAAATCTGCAGATGGAGGCCTGTTGGTTCCTCCCAGAATTGACTGATTGACTTTGAACTCTGCCGACTGGAGACACTATATTTCTTTTAAATACTTTTCTGTCCCCTGGAACTGCTCGATATATGTTTTTATTATACTTTAGATTCCTGTTTGTTTGTTCTTATCCGTATTACTGTTTTTACTTCCTTTCTTTATTGACGTTATTCCATTTTATCTGTGTATTGTGGTTTTATTTGTTTTTCTAACTGACTTTGTAACATTGTCAGGAAAAGTGCTATTTAAATAAGGATCATTATTAGACAATTTTCCCACCTTGTTTTAGGGGAAGCAATTTGTAATTTATATCCCCTTGGATAACAGTAAAGCATTCCCTTTATGGAAAACACAGATAAGGGATGACGGGTAATATTTTACCTTTCTAGCCTGCCAGATGACTACAGATGTGGGAAATCTTTGGGACCAGTGGAATCTCTTCAGGAGCATCCTCAGCAGTCGGGGAGCATTTTGATTGGCTACAGCCGAGGCCTGGTGGTCCTTTGGGATCTGAGCACCCGTCGTGCTGATCAGCTTTTCCTGGGCAAGCAGGTACCTGGTTTAGAGACTAAGTTGACTGCACATAGTGTGTTTGCTGGTTGGAGTTTAGTGTCAGTGAAGAATTTTGGTAAACTGCTTAACCAGAATCAGAATCCTTTTTATTGTCATTATGCATATGCTTCCATACACACAATGAAATTACAGCCGGAAGTCTTTCAGCAAAAGACAAATGGCATAAATAGACTTCCGACAACCAAAAGTATAAACACAATAAAGAAAGTAGAACACAAATAAGAAAGTATGAACACAAATACGCAACTATAAACATTCCAAAAAGAAAAAGTGCAACAGTGCAGTGTCCAGGCTGTGTGAGGTAGCGGGTCACCTGTGTCATGTGTGCACAGAGAGAGTGTCTGTGTGTGTGTCTGTGTGTAGAGGAGTGTGTGTGTATGATGTGTTCCTGTTTTTACTGCAGATGAGTTTAAATATTGACTCCTCTGGGAGTCATTAGGTTAATGTTTAAAAGTGGTCTGTTGGCTGTAATTCTGCTGCTGTGTGACCTGGTCTGACGACTGCGTGTTTGCATATGTCAACCCCTCTGCAGCAGCTGGAGAGTCTCGTGTGGGAACGATCTGGAAGCTTATTTGTCAGTTCCCATAACGATGGAGGCTACTCCGTGTGGCCTGTTACCAGCGGCAACACCTGCAATCACCAGCCAGCTTCCTCCACCATCCCATATGGTGAGAAATGCATACAAAGCACACACATATTTATATTTCCTAGTTTATGTTTGAGACATGATTAAGAGCATTGTCATTGAGGTCTGGTGGGTGGAGTGGTGTCATCCACGACAGATGTCGCCAACGGACAGTAGCGTGATGAACCATACTGTGATGCATAGTGGCTCATTGGTGAGAATCAGAACTTCGGGTCAGGGCTTGTCCAGTCAGGTTTCTGAGATGATCTAGACGATGATTCAGAATATGGTTGGAGAAGTTAAAGCTTTAAACACATCTGGTTTTGATTTCTTTGCCATTATTTTTCCTCTTTCTTTCATCCTTTCTTGGACTTAAACTTCTCTGGAGTTTGTAATAGTTTATGTTTGACCAGTGTGTCTTTGTAACGTCTTGTTATTGTCTGTTACAGGTCCATTTCCCTGTAAAGCCATCAACAAGATCCTGTGGAGGACAACACAGACAGGGTGGGTGTTTAAGCCTTTAGTTTGTCACATAGTTTTCCTGTTGGGGCACATTTGACTCCTGTAGTCAGACCGGACATCTTGAATCACTGTGGCTGTAAAAAGGCACATCTGACTTTTTGTTTCATTTTTCTTAGTCTTTTTCTCTTGGCTTTTCTGTAAATATTAGATTATAAATTGATCTACTTAGATTTTGAAATCGAAAAGTTCTCCTGCCCCAAGAGACTGTTAGTGGTCAGCAAGTCCCTAAAAAAATGTAATGAAGTCAACAGAGACATTGGTTCCTAAATAAAAGCTTGTTTATGCCCCAACTACAGCAAATGTTTTTCATGGTGTTAATGGTATATTTATCATCTAAATCTGACACTGATTTTTGTATGACTTTTTTTTTGTCTTTAAATTTACATCTAAAAGAGTTCAAACATTTTAAACAATGATGCCTAATTATCCTGGAAATGTTGTTCAAGATGGCAGAACAGAGTTGGAAACGTTTTTATTTATGACAAATGTGCCTGTGTTCCTTTCTCCAGGTCTCCAGTGATGCTGTACAGTGGAGGGATGCCCAGAGCCAGTTATGGTGACCGCCACTGTCTGACCATCCAACAGGACAAAGAGCACGTCACTCTTGACTTCACATCTCGAGTAATTGATTTCTTCACTGTCCACAGCATAGAGCAAGAGAAAGGTGAGGGTCGTTAATTAGAGATATGTTTCCATGGATTCCAAACACTGTTCTCTTCAGGTTTCAGGAGCTTCGGTCCCTAATCTTCCTTCTCCTTCCAGAGTATGATGACCCGTCAGCTTTAGTGGTGCTGCTCGAAGAGGAGCTGGTTGTCATTGACCTCCAGACCCCCGGGTGGCCCTCTCTGCCCACTCCCTATCTTGCTCCCCTTCACTCTTCAGCCATCACCTGCTCCTGCCACATCTCCAGTGTCCCTCCAAAACTCTGGGAGAGACTCATCAACGCCGGCAAAGCACAGCAGGGCCGGCAGCAGACGCACAGGGTGAGGAGCAATAATTTTAAGTTGAATTTTGTGTGAATATGTTCTTAAGCCATTTGCTCTAGTAACTACAAAAGCCGTCTTTTGTATCTTTTGGCAAAGCACTATGAGCGATGCAGTTAGTTTGTAAATTGGCTTATACGTGACTGTACGGGTATTCAATTACAGTAAATCCTACAGGAGGTACATGTAAGAAGCTTAACCTGAGAACACATTAAACACAGTGTGGCCGACCGCCAAGCTGCTTGTCCGTGCAGTTCCAGGGTTTTGTTTGGCTTTTTCCCAAATTGCCGTTGGATGCCAAGGTTCAAAGCATTCTAAATGGTCATAAGCGAGGTGAAATTACTGAATTTTAATTTGATCTGATACGGGCTATTTGTGTGTAAATGGATGTAATTACTCATGATCTGAACTCGCACGCTGTCAGCTAAACAACAGGAATGTGACCATCAGCCTGCTGGTAGTGTGTTAACTTTAAGAGCAGGTGTGGGCAGTTAAAGGCTTTGCAAAAGCTTTGTAGCTTAGATCAGCTGTTTGATCAGTGGCAGATTAGACTCACAAACACACACGCGCACACACACACACACAGCTGCTAGGTTCATAAATCATGACTCTGTGTTTGTCTGTGTGAATCCAAACCAGAGAGACTGGCACTGTAACAGAGGAAACTCAACAAAAGCACTCTGAGCTGCAGAGGACAGAATTTCTGCCATAAATTTTCTGTAGTAAATTTTTTATTTATTTTTTTTTTACTTGGGGTCATGACAGAATAGAAGGGGTGAGGAATGTTTCCGTTTAGTCAAGTTCAATGTAAAACTTTCTCTTGCAGCTCTTCCACATGACTAACTTGCTATCAATCTTTTTTTTCTGTTTGTGCAGAGCTGGCCGATATGCGGTGGGAAAAATCTGGCACCTCCACCGAAACAACAAGAGCTGCTATTGACGGGGTACATGCATGCACCAACACCCACACACTTAGAAATGCACACACCCGCTGGTTGTGTCCACGCTGCAGGTGGATCCAGGCTTTTGTTTACATGACTTAAATCTGATGCTTTCTAGTAAGTAAATTCACTAAAAGCAGCATGACAAAGGATATGGATATCCTGCATTTAACTGAATCTACATGCGACTTGGCAAAGAGGAAATCCTGTGATAACTGTCAGAATGCTGCCAACTGCAGACGTTTGGCAGAGCTTACATTGGCCTGAAGCCCAATAAAAAAAATATCAGTTACGTAAAGGCATCACAGACTTGTCAAAAGAAATTCGGCATAAGAAAACCAGTAGGGGGCTGCAAGGTGGTGCAGTTGGTTAGCACAAGGTTGCTGGTTCGCTTCCCGGTGGGGGTACTGGAATCTTTCTGCGTGGAGTTTGCATGTTCTCCCCGTGCAGCGTGGGTTCTCTCCGGGTTCTCCGGCTTCCTCCCACAAGGTCCAAAAACATGCTGAGGTTAATTGATGATTCTAAATTGTCTGTAAGTGTGAATGTGAGTGTGCTTGGTTGTCTGTCTCTAAGTGTAGCCCTGTGATAGACTGGCGACCTGTCCAGGTTGTCCCCTGCCTTCACCCTAAGTCAGCTGGGATAGACTCCAGCTCCCCCACGACCCTAGTGAGGATTAAGCGGTGTATAGATAATGGATGGAAAACCAGTAGGACTATTGCTGTTAGTTTTGAGCCATGTTAGTAGCATTCAGAGGGAAAGTTGCTCTCATCAGCCTCTTCTGTTTTAGTTTAAAGTGATATAGAAAATGTTACCATGCTGACACACTGAGCTACAGCTCCAAACACTGTAAATATTATACCTTCTAAACACCATTGTTGTTTTTTTTTAATCTTGTATCTTGCCAGGCATGAGGATGGCACGGTGCGTTTCTGGGACGCGTCAGGTGTCGCTCTTACTCCGCTATACAAACTCAGCACAGCCAATGTCTTCCACACCGACTGTGACCCCAGCGATGACCCTCAGGACCCTAGCAACGACCCCGACATGCAGCAGGAGGAGGAATGGCCTCCCTTCAGGAAGGTGAGAACCGAGGAGGTGAAATGATGCAAGAATAGGAGAGGGAGTCTTTCGAACCGAGTTTGGGCATGGGGTCGTATTTAACAGGCTGTGGGAATAAAAGCAATGTGTCTTTTGCATAAACACACACACCTACACACACACACACACACACACACACAGTCCTGTAACGCTACATCTGTGGTCTAATTTTCTCCTCTGATTGTTTTCATGTGTTTGGATTTCAGACAGGCCCACCCCATTGTTCTTGTTATTAAAAACTTGACTCTGAAGGAACCAAAGTCTGATTCTGTTTCAATGGGCAGCTTTCTGTGCAGAGTTACATTTAAATGAACTGATTCACAGTTGGGAAGCAGAATTTCATGTCAGGGGATTCTGGCAGAGTAGTTTGGCTTTAGTAGACGGGAAATGCAGATTGAAGACGGGACATGTCGTGCTCGATGAATATTTAAATAAATCGGTTCTGCAGCGAGAAACGTTTCGCAGTGTTTAGGCGTATGATCAGGATAAGAATATATTATCTGGGATCCCTAATGGATTAAAAAGAGACGCTATTATTTGGAGCGATGCATTCAAGAGTGAAAAATAGATTATAGTGTCAATCTGTCCATACACACATGCACATCTCTCCAAGTCTTATTTCCCATTTATTTCATTCGCTTCTTCCTATTTAATTTATTTTCTTTTACATCCCCCCCTCACACACACACACACACACACACACACACACACACACACACACACATATTTCCTCATGTATCCTGTGGTAACAGAGCTGCATGTTCAGGAATGCAGCCCTCATATGGGATGAAGCGCCTTTCCCTTTTTTCTCTCCTGTAATGAAAACCAGACCTATCAGCCCACTCTTTCTCTGAACGTGTGCGTGTGTGTGTGTGTGTGTGTGTGTGTGTTGCTTCTCCTACTTGTTGTTTTGCAAAGACACAACTCCCATGTGAGCGGGATAATAATTCCTACTGTGTATGTGTGTGACAGAGACGACACCTTAATGCACACATTGACTTTGCATGTGTGAGGGGAAAAGTAGGGCTCGTCCTGGCATCTGGTAGAGAGTAAGAGGAGTATGGTTGCCATTAAAGAACGAGGAAAGCTTCAGGAGGGCATTTTGACATTGGATTCAATTTGTAACTAAATATTCAGAATGAGACGACGCTGTTTTTACGAGATTCCAAGAAAAGGCTGAGCTTGTGGAGTCAGAGGAGGTGAATTTGTAGGATAACAAACATGAGCTACATGTCAGGGAACAATCAGCACCTTGGTATAAATGCTGAAGCATCCTAGTTTCTGTTTTCTGTCATAAATTTGCATCACAGTTGTGTTTTTTAGAATTTGTTTGCACCTTCAGCGTGCACCTATAGATGTTCTTATTTGATTGACTTGATTTTGCATCACTGTATGATCCATTTTTCTGTAATGCATGTCTACAAATCCAGTGTTTCAAACTGTTTGCTGTGAGAAAGAGGTAAAATTGAGCAATAAATTGATAAACAACCAGCTCCAAACACATTGATTTGCCTGTGGTTTCCTGTGTGTGTAGGTGGGCTGTTTCGACCCGTACAGCGATGACCCTAGGCTCGGCATCCAGAAGATCAGTCTGTGCAAATACAGCAACAAGCTGGTGGTGGCCGGAACTGCAGGACAGGTAAAGACCACGCAGATGAGTTCTGTCACAAGTTATAGACAGTACTGTGCAAAAGTTTTGGACACTGAAAGCAAAGCGAGAATGCTTTTACAAATACTGCCATGGAAAGTTTTAATTTATTGTTTACACCCTAAATCAAATCAGTGTTTGCTGTGACGGCCTTTTACCTTCTAAAGCCGCACCAGTTCTCCTCAGTGCACGTGCACACAGTGTTTTGAAGCACTTGGCAGGTAGGCTGTTCCTGACATCTTGGAGAACTTGCTGCATTTCTTCTGTGGATTTAGGCTGTCGTAGTGTTTTCCTTCTCCTCACGAAATCCCAGATCGACTCCATGATGCTGAGATCCGGGCTCTGTGTGGACCACTCCATCTGTGGCAGGACTCCATGTTCCTCCTGCGGCTGAAGATATATCTCTGTGACTCTGTCTGCATGTTTGTTGTCATGTTGTGGAATGAATTGGAACCAATCGGATGTCTCTTTAGTGATATTATCTGTTGGTTAAAAATCTAAACATATCAAGTGTCAGACTTTTGCACAGTACTGTAAATAGAGACATGCAGAATGGAAATGTGCTTTATTTGGATTACATTTAAGAGGTTTTTGAAAGTAAGGATGCTGTGAGTTCTTAATGTTTTGATTAGAATGTATTACCGTCATTCAGTGTATATTAAAACTGGAGCCATGATGTTTCTTGACTGTTCCTCTTCAGGTGATTGTGCTGGGTTTGAGTGATGAGCGCTCAGACCACTTGGTGGACGTGTCGGTGGTTGATCTCCTGCAGGACAGGGAGGGCTTCACCTGGAAGGGCCATGACAGGCTGGAACCGCGTCTCAAACCTGCCCCCTTCCCTCCAGGCTTCCAGCCACTAGTGCTGGTGCAGTGCCTGCCTCCGGCCTCAGTCACAGCGGTGGCGCTGCACGCCGAGTGGAACCTGATCGCCTTTGGGACGAGTCATGGATTCGGCCTTTTTGACTACCACAGACGAAATGCTGTGCTGGCCAGGTTGGGACAGACAATCACAGCTCCTTTTTTTGTTCTTTGAATATGGGGCAATGTGTGGACATGTTGGGATGTTAAACATAAACTCAGTCCTTTCTACCTCCCTCCATATTTGCTGCCCTATATTTTTGTGCATACATACTGAATGTGTTTTGATTACATAATGTTTCAGTGGGTCAATGCCAGTATAAAACAGCATAATACTATTTGAAACATTTACCAGACCTGATCTTAAAGGCAACACTCTGCTGCTCTCTGTGTTCTCTTAGGTGCACCCTGCACCCAAATGACTCTTTGGCGATGGAGGGTCCCCTGTCCAGAGTGAAGTCCTTGAAAAAATCCCTACGACAGAGCTTCCGACGCATCCGTAAAAGCAGAGTGTCTGGGAAGAAACGCACCATCAGCACACCCACCAGCAAGGTAAGTCCATCTCTATTAGTTGGGAGGCCATAGAACATCCTGACATACAACTAAACTATGTATGTGTCACATGTAGGTTCAAGAGGCCAATGCTGCTCTAGCAGAGCAGGAGGAAGTAGCTCCGGTACAACGAAGGATTGAGCCCCGGTCAGCAGACGACTCTTTGTCTGGAGTGGTCAGATGTCTCTGTTTTGCTGACACCTTTCTGCGTGATGGTGCGTTGACTTACTTGTCAGGGTTATGACTAAAGTTGGTAGCTTCATTATGACAATACACCCTTGATTCAGTATTTATTTTTTTATTTTTTTATTTTTTTATTAAGAGAAAGAGAATTGACTGGTGAGCAGTATAATAAATGGTTGTGTCTGTTACCATTTCCACAGCACTAACAACACACTGTGTCTCCTTTAGGTACCCACCATGGCCCCACACTATGGGCAGGCACCAACTCAGGCAGTGTGTACGCCTACGCTCTGGAGGTGCCTGGTGTGGGTTCAGGACGTGTGTGTGAGCGTGGCGGGGCCAGTGAGAGCAGCGTCTGTGTGGAGGCGGTGCTGGGAAAAGAGATCCAGCTGATGCACAGAGCTCCCGTGGTGTCGATCTGTGTGTTGGACGGCCGGGGGAAACCGTTACCGGACCCATATGAAGCCTCCCAGGACCTCGCCATCGCACCAGATATGACCAATGCTCACTCGGTGCTCATCGCCTCAGAGGAGCAACTCAAGGTGAGTCAGACATCAGGATCATAACATCACAAAAAAGTGAGCCTGTTGTTCTAGTTGTGAATCTTCTTTGCTCTTCCTGCAGGTGTTCTCTCTCCCTAAAGTGAGCGCCAAGACCAAGTTCAAGCTGACTGCACACGAAGGCTGTCGGGTGAGGAAAGTGGCCCTGATGGTGTTCAGCTCCACAGCTCAGGAGGACTACAGTGAACACACACTGGTCTGTCTGACCAACCTGGGAGACATGCACCTCTTTAACATACCCGGCCTCCGACCACAGGTACGGTCACAGTTGTATGCATGTTTACAAAACATGCTAAGTTTGTATTGTAGCATGGTTGGTGTAATAAATAAATTACATAAGTATATGAGTGTTTCTTTAACAGTATTTTCATGATGACTCCATTTTGTGTCGTCAGGTGCGTTACGACTGCATTCGTAAAGAAGACATCAGTGGCATTGCATCCTGTGTCTTCACCAAGAACGGACAGGGTGAGGAGAGAAGGCTTCACTTCTAACGAAAGAGTCACTAGAAAATACCAGACTCATAACTACACATTTCAAGTCACCAAAGGGTCACAGTGTAGTTTGTTTTTTTTTTCCTTCTGGGATACTTTGCATTCCCTCGTAATAATGTTTGCATTTCTTCTGATCCGCTCAGCTGTAGTATGATACAATGTTATGCATTATGTAGCAAACCTCAACTGGTTGTGGCCACAGTGTCCGAGTGGATTCACCCTCAGCTGTGGCCGCTCAGGCGCAAATTAAAGCAGTTAAAAAGATAACCAGAGAAGCTGAAGCTCTCTTACCAACAGCTGTCAGGGCTGATTTAAAGTGAAACACAGTTTGACATTGCTGTTTCTCCTCATGACCCAATCAATGCCCTTTTCAGCTGTATTTTAGATATCAACTTATGGATGGTAGCTCACTCAGGACAAAACTGAAAGAGAGAGAAAGTCGTTGTAAAACTGCAAAAATTTGACCCATGTCAACAAGTGAGAAAACTTCAGTAATTTTTTTACTCTGATCTCACTTTTGAGCCTCACATTAGAAACATAACTAAGAATTTAGCGTTTAAAGATCATTACCAGGGTACCACAGTTTCTCTCTCAAGCCAATACAGAGACATGCACACTCCTTTTTTTGGAGGATTGACGATTTTATTGATCTGCTATTTGGTCTTCCCAAGAAGATTATATCTCCACTACAAATGAACTCAGCTGAACTTGTTGTGACTGAAACGAGAAGGAGCAAACGTAACACACAAATGATCAAGACTGTGCACTGGCTATCTGTTTATTTATGAATGGATTCTGTTATTGGTTTCTAAAACTCTTAATGGTCTTTGTTGTAGCTATAGTATTTATACCTGCTGTATTTATTGGATTGGATTTAGAGTGCATCATAAGTGGACCAACATACCACCTGTTGAGTTAATCAGAGGGAAAGCAAAATATAGTCCAGAAAAAAAATCCAAACCTGATCCTTTAATGCTCTGTAGTAAAATGATGTTTCAATATGTAAAAAGTCATTTCACTTGTATCACAGAAAGTGTTCTCTGACGTGGCCTGAAGACACCTGTTGAACTCTTGTTTTTGTGCTTTCCGCAGGGTTTTACCTGATCTCTCCTTCAGAGTACGAGAGGTTCTCCTTGTCTGCGAAGGTTCTCACCGAGCCGCTCTGCTCTGTTCAGCTGGACCGACCACTAGAGCCCACACCTGCCAGGTAGCGCACACAAAGTCCATCATTTAAATATGAAAAACCTACATTTTATCTCGACACATCTCGGTTTCATACAGTGAGCTGCTTTCTCTCTGCCTGATTGCACCATATATGTATTGATTGACCACCACATGGAAACCCAGTGTGCATGAACAGCAGATCTCTGTTTGCCCAAATCTGTCCTAAAGAAACCTCAGCAACCCACATATCGTACATACCTGTTAGTTTATGTAGCAAGAAAAATAGTAAAATTAAATTAGGGTTGTGCTTTTTGGATAAAATCCTCAATCACAATATTGAAATGTATTACATTTTCATGGAAATCATTTGATAAATTGTTACTAGACAACATAATCAGAAACAGGAATGCCTGCTGTTGAATAATCCAGCAAAATAATCATTCAGAAGTTTACAAATGCAGCTATGGATATGCAGTGGTTTTCCAGGAAGCAGTGTAAACTATTCAGAGACCCTCAGTGGTCTCTGGACGGTGCATTGGAAACCGCCAAATCTGCCGTTCATGCAGCTTTCTCTCAGGTTACCGCCGGAGACATGCTACCTTTCTGCTGCTTTGTTATCCCTCCGTCTGTTGCCAATGTAAATGGCGTGCACTCTCGTCTCCGCAGCGATGGTACGATGACGCAGCCGCAGGCCAACGGAACCCACAAGAACCAGATGGGTCAGGCTGAGGGTAGGTCTGAGCGCACACTCTCTTTTCTCTCCTTCCCCCCTTGTTTTTTCTTCCCTCTTGTTACTTCGCTCCCCGCCTATTCTCCCTCTCTTCATCGCACCCTCTTCTTCTTCTCCCTCTGAACCTCTCAAAACCCCGACCAGGCCTCGCAGGGGTCGTCTTCTGGTCTCCATGGTAACCATTCAGTATGCCCCAGTTGCCTTCGCTGCCCAGAACCTCCTCTCTTGGCAGGAAACAGTGGTTGATGTGGAGACCAGTCAGCCTTTCACCTGGCACTCCGTTATTAACAACTTTCCTTGCAGCCAGAATTGTTAAATGTGTCTTTACATTTAGAAATACTGTAAGCAATAATGTACTTTAAAAAGTAAAAATTATTGGCTTTATATCCGTCCTAGGGAACTATAAACTCAGAGCATTGTGTCTCAAAGCTATTAATTTCAGCAACACTTAGGTTTAAAGTGAAGAAAAAAAATATTTTATAATGTTAAAGTATCATATTTGAGCAAAGTATGTAGTTGCATTCGTGTTATGATGTTAACCTAATTAGTTTAAAACAAAGTCTATCTGATGGTTGATAGGAATGTTAGTTTTTTCTATGTGTTTGATTAGAAACAAAAGTGTTGGACAGATTAAAGATTTGACCTAAATGTGACCAAAGTCCTTGAGATTTAGCTTCTGTGCTCATGAATATAGTTGTGTAATTGATGATAAATGATTATTTTGACCAATACTAAGGTCACATTGAGTTATTAATTCAATTCAATTCAATTCAATTTTATTTGTATAGCGCATATTTACAACAACAAGTCATCTCATAGCGCTTCACAAAGGCAGAAACAGAAACACCCAATTTCTTGATTTTATCATTGTTAAGTACTTTTTAGAGACACAGTATTTCTAAAGAAAACTTTTTAAAAAACTGTGTCACTTCCATGTTGTTTCCCTTAATGTGCAAATCTCTGCATTAAAATAATACTTCAGTTAATTTTTTTCTTCACCTGAACTCCCTGGAGGCAAAATATTTTTTTAAAAACCTGTAGCTGAAATGCTCCGTTAGCTGAACACTGCTTATTGATGGATACCACAGTTTACTGATGTTCCCTAAATGCCTCAGGCTACAGTAGAAGCTAGCTAGCAGCTGTGACGCACTGAGAAGCCTCTAGTCTCCACTCAGTTACTGCAGCGACTCTGATTGGTTCTGAGACCCGGGGATTTTGTCTACATGAGCTGTTTTCTATGTGCTATTGACTTTAAACATCATGATCATGCTTTATTTAATTGTGAAAAGCAAACATTTTGATTAGTATTTGATTCATTATGCAGTCAACTTTCCCATCCATTTAAATTTGAACTCTGCTTTCTTGTTGGATTTATTACATTTAGGCACCTGATTTGTTGGTATAACCTTGTTGAGGTACTAAAGATGTGATTGTTGCGCTGGATAACCAAACTGTGAAAATAAAACTGGTTAGTTTTATTCATCTAGCATACCTGGAAAACTTTCAATTACACCTCCAGCAACACACAGCGGTATGAATCACCCAAATTTAGCGAAATCTTCAGCCCTCAACTCTCTGATTTTTCCCTCACAGGGCAAACAGAGGAGGCTCCAAGCTCCCTGTCCTCCCCCATCCTGGACACCCCTCTGGACTCCCCCCTCAGCTGTGCTGACCTCACCCTCGACTCGACTGGAGAACTCACTGTGGAGGACGTCAGGGATTTCCTAACGTAGGTGCACGCGTAATGACACCGTTTAAAGAAAATTAGAAAAGCTAGTAATACATTTTAAAGACAAGAATCAATTTAATTTGTGTATCTGTCGTGCAGAACCGTAGACGAGGCGGAAAATAACCTAAAGAACATCAAAGAAGAGGAGGGACGCTCACCTGGCATCCTCATCAACTGAACAGGTGAGAAACACACAACAGTTACTTGATTTTTAAACTCGTTTCAGGCCTTGCAGTTGCACAAACCCAGCACTGTGAGCAGATGCATGAGCTTGCACTTGCTCAGACACGGTGGGCGTATTGAGAGCTGCAGACACCTGTTTCTAATGGAGCTGGTCCAGAGTGTGCAAACTTCAAAGCCTTGTTCTGTCTGAGCGCTGCATTCCAATAACAAACCCTCCTCACTGTTTCCCCTCCACTTTAAGTCTTCGCAAAGCCAGCGGAGCTAAAACCATTTCCATGCACTGAACACACATTTTATTCTGTAGCTCAGAGTTTGTTTGTTTTTTTACTGTCTTTGTACAGTATTCAGAGCTGGCTCTGGGTCAGTTTGTGTAACATTTTTGGTCACTGCACCAATTCCAGTTATCTATTTTACACTTTGCAAATCCAAAATTAAAAGCAATCGTAACTTTTACTTGAAGGCTTCAGATTACATCTTTTAAACAACCGACGCTGCCTGTGCCTCCTTTAGAGATAAACTGATGAGTTCTACTCTACTTGGCAGAAGAAATCAAAGCTAACTTGCTGCCGTAATGAAAAAAAATGCATCTACAGTAATCTACTAATCCGATGTGTGTCATTATTCTCTGCTACCAGAATTCCTAAATGAGGAGACGATTGTGGCTGTGATATGTCGACAAGTCTCTCCTTAACATTTTTAACTCTCTGCTCCCCTCTTGTGGTGACGTTTAGAAATACAGATGATACACTGCATAGCTGCACCGTCTACTGAATATTATTTATAATAGGCATTTTTAATGTATGTATTTAGTGCGTAAAAAAACATAATTTGGGCTCGAACTTAAATTATTACCTTTTTGGCTTTTTAAATTTATTTATTATTTTAGTCCAATATCTAGTTTTAACCTGAAGGATCTTAAGAATTATTTCTTATATGAACACAAGAGCAATGAAACAATGAAACTACAGTTAAATACCATGAATATTTTTTTTTTTTTGTGATTGAAGTAGTTGCATTTACTTACACGCCCCATTTCCCTCATATTATCTCCTTATGGCACAAGAAGTAATTATTCATAATACGAAAGAAAGAAAGTTTTTAAAAAAACAAAACAATAATAACCTGTCCAAGGTCTGAGTTTACACATACTGTACAGTACAAGTAGGTGCTAATTGGAATTAATAATGTGTAAAGAAAAAAAAAAATCAAAATTCTCTGATTGCAGTTTTTTAAATGTGAAAAGGTTATTTTCCTCCTCTCACAGTTAAAACTAAATGTCTTGTAGTTATGAACAAAACAAGACATTAAAGGACGTCATGTTGGGATTAGATAAACACTGATCGGTTCTTTTTTTTATTTTTTAATTTTTATAGACAAAACCACTCATAGATTAATTGAGAAATAGTTGATTGACAGATTAAACAACACTGAAAATATTTGTTGCAGCCCTAAATAAGTCCACAGTGTGCAAGTCTCACACCAGACCTCCATTCACTGACTAGTGTCAGCATAAAGCTACAGACTGACGAAGCGTTTGATGTTATTGTTCACATTTTTTCCTGCTGAGCAAACCGCTTGGCCCATCACACCAAAGCTTCTTGTGTTTCTTTGGCTCTGTTATGTGGCGATAGTGTTTTCCACTCATAACGTCCTCTGGGTTCTTTTTTTTTCTCTCTCTCTTAGTATTACAGGGAGGGGCTCTAGTGGTCTCGATGGACTGGATTTCAGTGCTGGACCACAAACATCTCCCATCAGCCCACTGTGGAGCCCCCCCCCCAGCCAGCACGCTACACTCTCCTCACTGCCGGGAGGAAAAGTCTTACTACGGACACAGAAAACGACGTTAAAGATAAAAAAAAAAGAAACTTGTGGTGGTTCCTCCTACTGGAAGAACACACTCTTCTTCTTATTCAACCACTTTGGAAACGTGACATTGCCTCTCACTCGGAGACAGGAAGCCCGGCGTGTTCCGTCGGAGCTGAAACTGAAAATGTGTCCTCGTCCATCTCTTTGCGATCATTCCTCCTTGAGCCCTTCTCCCGCTGATCACTGCAGCTCGGCCTTCGAGGAAAAGGCCGCCACGTTCAACATAGGAAACTTACTGATGTTTTTATGTTTCTATCCGAAGTTTTGCGGCATCGTGGGCTCCATCTGAGGTTTTGGAACCAGTGCTCAGCGGCCAAACGTTGATTTCTTGTGCACAAGTGGTGGATGTGACGGATTGTTCTGCTTAATGTACACGACAGTCCTGCAAATGAGCTGCTTTGATGAACTGATGGTATCCAGCAGTGACTGAAAGGGAGCCCAGTAAGGGACGAGCACATCAAGTACTTTGATATATTTGAGTATTGAAAGTTGTAGCATTTCTGTTCCCACTTTTTTTTTTAGGGCAGTTGAATCACTTGTCGTCCTGTTGGCACATCGTCATCGCCAAGGTTTTGAGACGCTCTCTAGGTGTGAAGAAAAGAACTGAGGACTGGGACAATGAAGGTGTTTTTATTGCAAAAGTTGAAGCTCTATTAAATGTGTTTTGTACGGCTTTGGGAGAAGATATATTGAAGGACAAATAGTGGGAGAAAAATTCAAGACAGTGGCTTCTAATGGAACCAGCTAGGAAGTGTTTTTGGGACTGGAGCTGATTTGTTTTTTTCCTTTTTTGGGGGACTTTTGAAATATCTTTATTGCTAAATGCACGACGTGGACAGAGGTGTCATAAGAGTACAACGCAGAGGTGAAGCAAGTTAGCCTCCTATTCAGTGGTTGTAGTGAAACATCTTTCCCAACTTGAAGCCCTGTGATCTATGTGACATCACTGTCCTCTCTTACAATAAGGAATCAATGGGACCACGTGAGGTGAAGCTACAGTGTTGTACAACCCCAGAAAGATACGAGGTGGTGGCAGCCAGGTTTCAGTCCTAATTTTCTGCTCTTAGTTTGGGTAAAAATCTGGATTCAATGTCAAGAAATATTTCCTCAGAGACTCAAAGAGGATGAAGGTATAGAATGTGGTAAAATGAAGGAGCCGTCACTCGAACCCTTCTTCCTCTTAATGTTTCATCATCTCACGCAGAAAAATCTTTTGACAGGACTCAGGGAAGTGTTGCAAGGTAAGCAAAGTCAGTCTGAAAGTGTAACGTACTGGAGATTTCTTATTGAGGTCTCTGAAATTGGTGCATTTTGGCTACACGCAGAGCTTTGATCATCAGTATTTTTAACCCCCCCTTTTTTTAAAAAATGTTTTACTGTGTAAAAACATATGCAGTATCTATATCTGGGTTCACAGAAGACAGGTTTGTAACAGCAAGCTGACGATGGAGTAAAATATTCGAACCTGTTGTAGCCTCAAGAAAAAACGCCCCCCCCTGCAGTATTCCCTTAGCTTCTTGATCCTTGTTTTAAAATGTTAAAAAAAGGACCTCACTACTAACTAATGTAGCTCAGCAGGTAGGAATCAATGTTAATGCCTCTTTTTTTTTTGTTTTTACTCTTGTGTTTAGCTTTTTTTTTGTGTTCTGGTTGACACACGTGATTAACCCTTTCATGCTACAGCTGGCACGATTTACCTTTTTAATTCCACAGTTGAGATGAATTTGTTTCTATTTTGTCATCCAGTTTCATGTGTAGGAATTTATTAATCGGGTCATTTAGCATTTTGGCTGATGAAGAATTGTGAATGTTAATAAAATTATTTACTCTCTCTAAGAGACTTTGTCCAACGTTTGGCTTGTACTGAAACATCTGGTGAGTAAGAGGCCAAGATCACAAACTGTGATGTGAAATTTTATTTTTATATAAAATACATAAATAAAGCATCTGCAGGTGGCATCAGGAGCATGTGCACATATTCAGATACACACATATGTATGTGTGCAAGACTCAAACACACTAACAAGCATACAGTTCACCCCACAAAATATAGTAGAAAGAAACAGAGATGAAAGTTGCAGCCATTTGTGAATATTATACAGACATCTCGCTTGGACCAGTGCCTGCGTGTTACACAGGTCACATGATCGCAAGAAGCACTGCAGGAGTTACTAAGATGTAGAACTAGTCGAACTGATCGTTCTAACAGCAGCAGCAGATGTCCCTACGTTTATCAAGATATGTCCCATAGGATGTGGAAGATCTCCCATTGAAGAGCTTGGTTCCAAAAAGAGAAACATATTTGAAAAAGAAAAGCAGCACTTTAAGATCTAACTTCAACTTTAAACCTGTAGTATTTTAAATATCATGCATTTACTTTTTCAAATATAGTTACGCAAAATTTTGGAAAGAAGCACTTTCCTATTGTCTCCAGAAAATAAACATTTAGACAAGTTGAATGCGGCCTGTAGCGTAGAAGAATACAGTATTTAGTTTCAGTATCCCAGGCTCTACTGATTGCACATTTAAACCTCTTAAACATAAAACAAATCTGTCTCACATATCTAACTTACACCCTGACCTCCACAAGACTTCTTTGGCCAAATAAATGTAACCATTGATCACAGCTACGGAAATCCCTCTCCAAAGTATCTTCATGTCGGTTTCATTTTGCAGCGGTAACATTAGAGGATGTGAGAACAGTAACCAAACAGACTGTGGGAATGAGGAAGACCCCATCTCAGTGAAGGCGCATCGGGGCAAACACACACACATACCATGAAAAAAAATAGATATATAAACCGACATTCTTCAGAGAAACAATTATAGTGCTGTTTTCTGCTCAGTCCCTCAATGATGAAAAGAATAATACAGACTGTAAAATCGACTACTCTCTGCTGTAATCTGCTTCCAATAAGCTGCGTGACTGGCGGCACTAAAGCATGAAGGAGCGGCTCTTGTAGTAACAAGCACTTAACCCTCCTCTGCTGAAAACGATCGACCATGCAGCACAAGCCACGTGAAAGCAGCGAAGCAGATCGATATGTGAGGGGAAACACTTCCCATGGGTTTGTTTTATTTTTTATATAAGCCTCTGTACACCTATTTTATCAGAAAACATAATTCTCTTCTTTCACTCAAACAGCAAAATCCAGACTTGCTGCTAAAAAGCTTCTAGAAAAAAAGGAATATTTTAACCACCTCACCAGCCAGCAGCTCCTTGACCAGAAGAACTCTCACTGATCGGGCTTGTTGTGCTAAACTTAAACCTTTCCAGGCTGTTTTTTTTTTTTTGTAGGCAGTTGCTGACAGAAACCTGCTGGCCAAAATGCTGCTGAGCAGGATGGAGGTAAGTCTCAGGTAAAGCTGGGACTGGCATAGACATCGTCATCTTACTAGTAGAAAATTACATGGCAGCAAATCAATGTGATGCGTGTGATCCGGTTTGGCCTACGCGGGGGGAGTCTTGAAAGCTCCCCAGGCGTGGAAGCAGCGCGTGAAGCAGTGAGGCTCGTTTCCCTTCCTGACCAGTCGCAGCTTCCTCGGCTGCTCGGTCTCCTTAGAGCGCATGTGCTGGATGTAAACCTGGAGGGGAAGAGGAGGAGAGGGATTGCTGAGATGTGGGAAACTACACACAGGCATGTGCACACCAAACTGCAGCGTCTCACTCACCTGGCAGGCTTTGAGACTCAGTTTGATCTCCACCTGGCTGGTTTGAGTCCCCACCCACATGTAGACCTGAAAGAGGCGGAAACGCAGAAAAGGAAGAAAAACAATCAAGACAACAGAAAATGTGACAATGATTTGATCGCTTTTAATTATTTTTTTTTAACCCTCCTATTATCTTTGGGGTCAATTTGACCCCATCCATCCATCCATTATCTATACACCGCTTAATCCTCATTAGGGTCGCGGGGGGGCTGGAGTCTATCCCAGCCGACTCAGGGTGAAGGCAGGGGACACCCTGGACAGGTCACCAGTCTATCGCAGTGCTACGCTTAGAGACAGACAACCAAGCACACTCACATTTACACCTACGGACAATTTAGAATCACCAATTAACCTCAACATGTTTTTGGACTGTGTGGGAGGAAGCCGGAGAACCCGGAGAGAACCCACGCTGCACGGGGAGAACATGCAAACTCCATGCAAAAAGATTCCGGTGCCCCCACCGGGACGCGAACCAGCAACCTTCTAGCTGCGAGGCAACAGTGCTACCAACTGCGCCACCTTGCAGCCCAATTTGACCCCATTCCACCTCTAAATAAGTACTTGAAGTATTTTTCACACATAAACTTGGGTAACAATTTTAAATATGTTTTCTGGAGGTTTAAATTGCTGGGATCAAATTGAACCCAAGGATAAAAGATATTAGTAAATTTGAAGGTAATAGGAGGGTTAACTACTAGCAGTATTTCTTTAGGTATATCTTTTTAATGAACTGTGCTTGATTGTGTTAATTGCTAGTTATGCTGGTCCTGACTTTTTGGATGTATTATCCAACTCATCCCAGTGTGTATTGGTTTTAGAATCTTTTGTATCAGTTAAAACTGTTTTATCAGATTTTGAATTTTAAAATGTGTACCTGGACAGTGATATATATATATTTTTCCTTCATAGATCTAGGATTTTAACAGGCTCTTTTTTTTTTAAATTTTATGGCTTGTGCACAAGTATGTTTGCCACCTCACATTGTACTGAACATGATGCTTATTTGGCGTTACCTCTTTGCCGTTGTCCAGCAACATGATGTCATCATCTGCTAAGTCATCCTGACAGAAGTCTGAGCACTTCTCTGACACAGAGAAATAACCCTTCTCATTTGAACACCTGTGAAAGAAAGGACATAAAACAAGAAGAGTCATTAAAGAGGTAGAAGTGAAAGATGCAATATGAGGAAAAACAGATGGTGTCACACAAGAATTACAGCTGCACATATTTTCACTGTAATGCCGTGATGTGCAGAACAGATGACGTGCACTCACCTGAAGAGCCGAGCGTGTTTCATATACTCTGCGTCTTCGTCGTACTGTTTCTGAGAACCGATCCCGACCCAGAAGAAGTTCTCTGGCTCCTCTCCCTCATTAATGACCTGACAGAGAGACGTATTGATTGATGACGCTGTGATGAGATGTACTTTCCAGCACACATTCTCAGCCTTGTAGTGCACATCAGAATTATTCCTAAATCACTGAGTTTTTGGCGTCCACCAAAGACACTTTAGTCAGCCAACAGTTTTCACTCCATTTTGTTAATTTGGAGGGTTTTTTTTATTCATGCACGATGGACATTTTTATTCATCAAATGATCAGAAAAATGCACAGATTTTTGTCAAATAACACAAAGTAAATGCCTTTAATGTATGTGGACTTGCACATATATAAAAAATGAAAGAAATTCCCAAAAGCTAAAGCATCTATACCATCCCTGGATGGGAATAAAGGCAACATATTTCAGATATCACTATTTTTAAGGGCTCTCTCAGTAATGTTCAACCGGTTTTCTTTTATGGGAATAAATACTTGAAAAAGAAAACCCAAGTGTACCACAAGCTGAAAACATGTTAAAACAAAAAGTTGAAACACTGAAAGAAGCCGAAGTGGTTGTCAAAGCAACAACTTAAGTGCTGATAGACCATTTAGTTTAAATATAAGAACTAGTTTGAGTTGAAGTGAAAGTGAAAGAAACAGCAAATCAAAATTGTGTGATAAATCAAGCTGGAATGAAGAGAAAGCATCTGCTGAAGTGGAATCACTGAAAACAGATCAACTCTCAGATCAAGCAGTCGAAGTGTAAGCTGACAGAGGAAACTATTAAATGGCCAGCTGAAGAGTAAAAAGTGAAAGCAGTTGAAGCGACAAATGAAGTAAGTGAGGCATGTATGCTTAATGCTTATCACAGAAGAACAATAAAGAACACAAATGAAACATGAGACACACTCTCTTACCTGCTTGCTGTACGTGTCATCAAACATGCAGTTCATGATGTCCTCGGCCAGTTTGGCCTCGTCGGGGTCAGCGGCTCGGCCCACCCAGGTGTAAACGATGCCCTGATTGTCTGTGCTCTCAAACGGTACCTGCAGGGAACATAAATTGTTGAGCTCAATTCACAGAACTCTGAATTGCTTTATCAATCTGCCTGACTGTACAGTTTTTAAACATCCAAACCTTGAGTATGAAGCAGAACTCTGAATTGAGATTGCTGGAATCTGTGCCAATCTGGATGGTTCTAAAAGAGAGATGTGTGTTAAACACGAAATGTTAAAAGAGGTTTTTTTGAGGACATGAAGATATTCCAAGTGTCCATAAGTGCGTAAATATACCTGGTGCAAAGTGCACTGCCATTGGTGCGTATGTGGTAGAGGGAGGGCTGGGCAGAGTCGGTCTTCTGTTTCCTCTTTCCTTTGTGGATGATGAATTTTCTCTTGAAATGCGACAGGAACTTGAGGTTCTCCTGCTGCTGGGTCATACGCACCACCTAAACAGCAAAACAGATCTTGTACGATGACCCGTGATGAGTGCAATAGAAGATGAGTCTTATTTTAAGTGTCAGGGACAACACACTAATCTGTCTTCATACTTTCAGTTTTCCAGGGAAGAGACTCTCGAACTTCTTCTGCAGGGAGAAGGTGAAAGTGAGCCAGCCCATGTTGGAGGCCTGCCTGCCCTGCCAGAAGTAAACGACACACTGGAAGTCCTCCTCTGGCTGTTTGTCCTCCTCCTCCTCATCTCCTCCTCTTCTTTCTCCGCCACCCTCCCCACCTTCACCTTCTTTCTTTTCCTTATCCTTCTCGTCGTCCTCATACTCCACAGGCACCCAGTATCTAAGGAACCATGAAAACAACAGCTTATAATATGACAAATAAGTTTGTGAACTTGTAATACATAAATTCCCCCATCACAGAGCATACACAAGTCCAGCTAAAGCCACAAATTTCCCCCCCGCTCGATTACAGACATCAAGTAAGAGTCGAACAAACATCTACTGTACCTGCAGAGGAAGACGTAGCAGTCCTGGGTGAAGAAGTGTCCAAACTCCTCCTCGGGCAGGCGAGCAAACTTCTTTCCCTCCAACACAAATCCTTCCATGCCATCCAGGTCCTCGTTCCACTCCTCCATCAGCTGTTCAGCCTGGAGAGGTGAATATGTGAGAAGTGGAGTTTTTTTTTTGTGTGTGCGTGTGTTTTGCTTTGCCAACATAACAACCCAGGACAAAAGTAAGTTGTTTACCTCGGTGAGAGGCATGGCTGGCTGCCTGGGGAGAAACAGAGCTGTGAGGTCAGCTTTCATCTGGTCTTTCTGCTCTGCATCCTTCTTCACCTGGGAGACAGAACACACATTAGCATGATTAACTAAGCACAAGGAGCTACACAAATATCTGACATATTTTTGCCTTCTAAAAATGGCTGCCTGAAGCTCGTCAGCGTGTAATTTAGATTCAGACCGTCTCAATGAGAATGATCCCACATTTTGAGCTACTGGGTCAATTTCAGTCGTAGCTGCCGTGTAGCCTGCTCTCACAATACTAGGATCTGAGACAAACACACATCACTGACCTTGCCCTGCAGGTTATCTTTTTGCTGTACAGTCTCAGCTGCTCTGGTGTAGTCCACCTTTAAGACATCATCCCAGTTCTTGAACTTGGACTTGAACACCTGAAGAAGGGAAAGAAGAGGAAGAGAAATTAAGAGAAGTGAGTGACAGAATTTCAATCTTATACTGTTAAAGTGTAGAATAGAAGATAAACCTGGCATTTAAACAATGACTACCTTAGCCTTTCACTGTATATGTACAAGTATGTTAATCATGTATTTGTAACTTGCACAAATTGTAAAAGTATAATTGGTTTTCCTTGAACGTGCATGGCTTTTATGTGAGACTTCAGTGTCCAATAATTTTTTGTAGCAGGTCAGAAACAACCCTTATTAAGATCCTTATAAAGTCTTTCACAATGTTAAAGGATCCACAAAACAAAAAAAACCTCTGACAAGAAAGGCCTGGACAGTCCAAGACAGTAAGACAAATATCACAATAACATGTAGATATATCGATTCTTTAATTACTTTCTGATGCAGTCTTTGCTGTATGAAACGTTACCTGGCACTCGGTGCCCTCCAGGTTGCGGGTGACGCAGGCGTGTTTGGGTCGGTGCAGCATGGAGCAGATCTCCTGACCTAGTTTTAAGGCTGCAGCTCTGACGAGGCGGGGAGATTTCCTCCCGATCCAGATGAACACATCGGACCAACAGTCCAGGATGTACACGCCCTTTGTGTCCAGCAGAGACTGAAGCTGAGGAAAGGGACGGAAAAGAGAGAGTGCAACGCAAAGGGAGGGAGAGTTATGAGAAAGGAAAAAAGCTATGAAGAACTACTGTGCTCTGTAGACGTTCTTTCTTTCTGGTGATCATGCAGATAAACACACCAGTCTGAGCTCTGGCAGCGTGTCCAGTTTGATCTTGTGATCTTTGTGCTCCACTGACAGCTTGTAGTTGATCTGAGGCAGCTCCAGGTAGCCAAGACCCAAACCCACCTACAGCAGTGAAAAACAAACAGAACACTGTGACGTTGTGTCAGTCCTGGTCATCTGTTCATGTATGACATGCTTTAAAAAAAAAAAAAAAAAAGAATGAAAGAGTGGTGTGACAGACAATTTATAAGGAAGTCCCTGCAATGAATCCACCAGCCACTTTGTCTTTCTTATAACTGCCTTCTGTTGCCTGAAAATTCATGTGTAAAAGTTAAACTAGAAAGACCAAACTAGCAGTTAGCTGACATCCAACCTCTTTGATCCCACATCACCATGGCTCATTTACAAAAATAAAGTAAACGTGACTTCAAGTGACGAAACTGTACATCCCACACACCTCCTACAACACTTACAAATTTGCATTACACCTACACTACCTTCAGTCTCTACCCACACTTCTACTGTAACCTACGACAAGCAAAATTCATCACCAAGTCAGCTACAGAGAGTACTGTTGTGTGAAGGTTATTAAACACACTTACTTTGTATAGTTTAGGCCTGATAGGAGAGAAGTCATCTGGTACGTGTTTCTTGATCTCCTCTGGTTGTCCTCCCAGCACCTCCCAGAACCCTGGAGGCTCCTGGTTCTGCATCAGAGTTGTAATCTCTGCCTTCCCCTTACGTTCATTCTTATTTATCTTTTCAGCAAATAACCTGAAGGAGGAGAACATTGCGCACACACAACACATGTTTGCATCAGGGACAACAACATTTTTTTATGTATAGCTGCATCCCTGACATGAACATCTTGACAGCTCCCCCGGCCTTCTTACCTGGCCTTCGTAGTGCCGCTGAGAGTAGCATTGGCTCCTCTCCAGATGAAGATTTCCAGCCCTGTGTCCAACAGGAACACATAGCTGCCAAAACAAGAAAGACAGGATGTTAGCGTGTGAGTTTGTCACTACTGAGACAAGGCATACATGTCAAATAGCAATAATACAAAAATTAGCAACAGATGTCTTAGAAAGCAGAGAGTTTATGCTGGAGTGTAGAGCAAAGTGTATGTTAGGTTGCTGTATGAGACAGTAGAAGTGTATAAGAGTCACCGAGGGTCGAGAGAGGAGGACTTCAGAGGTACAGACTCCAGCCTGATGTTTTTCTTGCCGTAGACTCTGTACAACCTGATAAACACAGGAAATAATTACAGCTAAATAAACTCAACAAACAGATGTAGCTGCCTGCATGATGATCAAGAAGCTGACAAAATCAATCACACTCCAAATAAATTGGATATGCAAGTAACTTTTTCATTCTGAATTAAAATGAAGATAAAAAAAAGATCAGCTGTTCGACCTACCTGACAGGATAGTGTGTGTCCTCCACAGTGTAAAAGCCACTGGCTGTTCCTCCCTCAATGTAGGAGATCTCATTGTTAAACACCTGCACACAAGACAAAAACTGTCATTCACAACAGCACATACAAGTTGATAGGTGTGTATATAGAGGTTAGCGTCTATAAGAATATTCATTTGAAAAAAGGGAAGTTAAGTTATGAATCTATTTTGGGCTATGCCTTGAGTAAGTATCAGAATTTCATATATTAGCTTGTATGTGCAACATGTTTCTACGTACAGCGCTGAACTCCTCGCTCTCGTCTCCCATCTCTTCCCGAATCGTTCTACACTCTGCCCCGAGGAAATTTCTGAGGTTGACAGCATGGATGGCAGAGCCAGCCTTCTTGTCTAGTGTGGCATCCTGACCAATCCAGTAGTAGATCTGCCAGTTTAGGGCATGATTGTCATCCAGGTAGGTCTATAATGGCAAGGGGAAAAATGTAAGACTGATGAAAGGGATACGGGAAGGAAAAAATCTGTCTTGTCACTCAGAGGACATGAAAAACATACACATGCTCCATCAGTAGACCAATTTAACCATCTTTTCCATTTTGGCTGGTACAACAAACATCAAATTCGCATCTACTGTAAATGATGGCAGTTTTGATGTGTTACCTTGAGAATGATGTAGCAGTCAGCCTCATAGAACTTGCCATGGAAAGTTTCGTCCACTTGTATGGGGACAAAGTTCTCTATCTGCCAGACGGCTACACCTGGAACCTGTAACAGAAATATGCAGTGATATTTGAATACTAAAAAGAATTACACTGCTGTACTCTGGATTGTCGACTAAAAACATCATTAGAAAAACAAATTGCAGAAGACCGGAAACTGGAGAGAGACGGTTCTTCTCTATAACATGTAAACACACTAATGGGAATGGGAAGCTGCTGACTATTACCGCAGCTGAAGCAACTTTTACTTTAAAGCTGAAGGTGGACAGAGCACACAAACATTACCTGCCCCGCGTCATCCATAAAGAACTCAGAATAGTCCAGTTGAGGCTTCTCTAGACTCTTGTCCCAGCGCCGGATTTTCAAATCACCGTATTTCAAGTCGCCGTTCTCCTGCAAAATTAGCAGAATTATTAGTGCAATGGAAATCAAACCTAATCTTCTTCTACTGGGAAGGTGAAGAATAATGCTGGTAATTAATAAATTAAATGTCAAGGTAAATGGATAATTTTCAAAAACAATTACACCAATCTGAGAGAACAGACTCATATTCTGGTGCAATGCTTTCTACTCAATATCATGTATTTGGAACAACAGCTTCCAATCACAATAAATAATAGCATCCTTCTGTTTACTGTCCTGTATTGTCTTCTTTTCTTACCTCCATGTTCTTCTTCTCCTGTGCGACATCGCTCATGCCTTTCAGCACCTGTTTTGCCTGATCATCCTGAGAACAGTCCTTCCTCCTCCTCAGCCTCATCTTCCTCGCCAGGTGATCTCGGGGGCTGGCTCCTGGAGACATATAAACACAGGTTGAGGCTTCCAGGAAACATGCACAAATAATTGTTACCGACAAACAAAATCTAAAAACGCCACACAGGTGCACACACCTCCTCCTGCAGCTGCTACAGTCGCAGGTGAGGCTCCGGCCAGTCGGAGTTGGTTCTGTAGGGAGAAGTCGATGTTGTACCACTCTGCTGCTCTGTCCACTGGTTTAGGAGGCATCACCAGGTTGGGGTTCTCGCGCACATCTAGTATCTGCAGGAGACATAAGTTTGTGTTTCAGATTGTTATTCTCCTCTTCAAGTATAAAAACTTGTAGAGATCATGTGACATTTACTATTTGTAAGATTCCAAAAAGTCATTGTTTCTAAGTAATATTCTTTTTTTAAAAGTATTTTTTTTTTGGCCTTTTTGCTTTTATTTGCGAGTGCAGTTGAGAGAGAGACAGGATAGTGGGGGAGAAGAATGGAGGAAGGACCTGCGGAAAAGGGCCACGAGTGGGATTTGAACTCATGACCTCTACGTCGGGGACTACAGCCCCTGTTCATGGGACACCAGCTCAACCAGGTAAGCTATAGCGGCACCCAAGTAATACTCTTTTTGAATGTAACAATCTCAATTTTTTCATGATCTTTCAATTGCATGTCTCATAACATTAGAGTTTTTCATTTTGTTGTAATTACGTTCTTCACCATTGTTCTAACTTACCCACATTAATCCACCAACCCTGCAATACAAATGCTATTTTTAACTGGATCTTAATTCCAGTATCATCTGAGTACTTTATGGGAGTACTGTACCTCTAAGTCTGTTAAGAAGTGGATAGCCTCAGGCAGCGTCACCAGGCGGTTTTTGTTCAGCACCAGTTTCTTCAGCTTGCCACACCTGGACGACAACACAGCAAAACCACATATTTAGGTAATATTATTATTATAGGGTGAGTACAAAATATGACACATACAAAGAATTGGCTGTTATAAACACATTGCTAAGCATCTTTGAAATCTGGCTATGTAAACTGCACTTTGAGTGGTTATTTATAATAATCTGGCTTTTTAGGAAAACATACAAGAAATAGCAACACAGAAAAGCTAAACCACAAAAAAATGTGTTTTTCATTTCAGCTTGTTTCCTTACGTTTGTAGGACTGAGTCATGATCATTCTGAAAAACTAACTCGTGCTTTTCTACATAAAAAAAAACAAAAAAGCATTGCTATATGAAGTATATGAAGAGCAAAGTGGAATATATCAGTCTAACAATGCAGAATGAAAACTCCACTGTTTTAAATATCAGCTGATGAAGCAGAGCACTCAGTCTGGGAGTTTGAGTGCTGTACTCACCTGCAGAGTCCCTCAGGGATGAGTTCCAGGTTGTTATTAGCAGCCATGAACTCAGTGAGGCTGGATAGTTTGCCGACTCCCGGTGGAACCCCATCAAAGTCCAGTTTGTTAGAGTTTACATACAGCTTCTTCAGTTTGGCCAGCTTACAGATAGCAGACTAGTTGGAGACACAAATGCAAACTTTAAAGGCTGGAGAGGATACACAGACACATTTCTCTGTCAAGCCAAACACAACGGTTTTTGTTTCATTCCCCACAGGTTTTAAGATACTCATCACTTAGATTTATGCACCACCTCGGTTTAATAAAGTAATAAAATTTCAGAAGTTTTACAAAACTTCCCAAAGCTGTCTGCTTAAGAATGATAGTAGGAAAGGAAAGGCCTCTGTGAGATCATCCTTACAGGCAGCGAGGTGAGCTGGTTGCGGCTCAGGTTGAGTGTCTCCAGCTGGGTCCACTGGTCAATGCAAAGGGAGAGTTCAGAAATCTGGTTACTGCTCAGGTTGAGTCTCTTCAAACTGCCCAGTGAATAGAGGCACTCTGGCACCCGAGTCAGGTCGTTACATGACAGGTCAACATCTGGGGGGGAGAGAGAGAGAGAAAGAGGAGGATGAGAAAATAAGGAACACCGTATGTTTGTAAAAAAGCTGGCAGTCATGTGTGTTTATATGATGCTACCTGCTAAATGCGTCAGTCCCTCCAGACTGGTGGGCATGTTGCTCTGCGTCCTCTGGGTGTTCCTCAGGTGCAGAGTCTGTAATGCCACCATAGCTGGCAGCTGCCTACTCAGATGCACATTCACACATACAAACACACACAAAGACAATCAGAGCAGCACTAAACTAGCATTTTGTTTTTCTAGCTAAAGGCCGTACACACAAACTGGCAATTTTTGTGAGTTTGGATAAAAGTGTAAGCTGGGAGGATGCATGAGAAAGGATGAAGGCAACCAATGAAACAAAGCAATGTATTTTTACCTCAACTGGGCATGCATCAGTGGGTTGTTGTTTAGAATGAGAGTCTGCAGGTGCACCAGGCGTCTCATCTGGGGCGGCAGACTGTCCAGCTTGTTGTCGCTCAGGTCGAGATACAGCAGGTCTGTTAGGTTGATGAACAGTTGGTTGGGGATGGCGTCAATGCTGTTGTGGCTCAGATTCAGCACCAGCATGTTCCTGCTGTTCTCCAGGTCCCTCGGAATCTCTGTCAGCTGGTTGTAGCTCAGGTCCTAAAGGAAAAGAAAGCAAATAAATGTATTAATTTTGCTGAACATATTATTTGTAAGCCAGGATTAGTTTGGGGAAAGCAAGGTTTCATCATTCACTGAAAAAGAGGGAGGGTTATGAGCAAAAACGTTGAGGCAGTAGACTGAAAACAAAGGAAAGGAAGCATGCTGAATAATAAGCAGATGAAAGATTGTCTGAGATTGTTGTGTACCAGCACAGAGAGGTCATCGAGCTGAAAGATGTCATCTGGGACTCCAGAGTTTTTCAGGTTGTTAGCTCTGGCTACCACCGCCTGCACACACAACGAAACACTTTTAGGACACCGTCATAACTAGACTACAGACAGAATATTACATTGCAAACAGCAGGATTAAGAAATAATAATGTATTGTTACTACCTCTGTATGTATGTTAAGTGTATTTTCTTGTACTGCATGTGTGTTTGTCATTTACCCGCAGGTTCGGTAAACTGGATAGTTCTCCATGTAAGGTGGTCAGGCTGTTGTGACTCACTGAAAGATGTTCCTAAAAAAGAAAAAAAAAAGGAATCATTTACTGACACGTATTACACGGCACAAATATGCTCATTCAAGTCCTCATAAATATGCCCTACAAGGTGACCTCATCGCTGCTGTGCCAAGTACAGCAGAGGCAAGGGCACTGATTCTAAGAGTCTCTAAACAGAATTATCTGATTGCAAACAGGTTCAATTGAACACACTGACTTTTTGACTGCTAGCCATGGTAACACTAATCTGGATCAGCTACACTTGTCATAGTCTATGTCATCTTTGGCTTCTTTATCACTGCATTGGAGGGTTGGATTGATAATCTTTGAAAGATACTGAAATACAAAGCAAGGTTATGTGCATACGTCATAGTTTTCAGAGCTGAGGTTTCACAAGTGAAAGGCATGAGTTGAACACTGGTATGTTTAGATTCAGAGTTTAACAAAACTGCTAATATATAAAAATCTAGTACTAAATTTGAACTTATGACTAATATTATACTATCAATCTACCAAAAATGTTTATTCTTTCTATGGATAGAAAAAAAATACCATGACAAGACAAGACAATATCCAAATACTTTTTTTTTTATAGAAAAACCTTTAACATAGATATGAGGCACATTCCACACTTATTTTGCCTTTGCTGTAAAGGATAGGCAGCTCTTCTTCCATATAAAGCTTCTTTCTATCCTTAGACTGGGAACAATTTGCTCTGCAGCCGAGTCTGTTTCACTTAATGACAACAGTCACACAATATTTTAGGGAGGTTCTTTAGCTTTGAAAATGCACAGAGCACACATGAAGAAGAAAACAATGATCTCAAAGCACAAAAGGGTTTAATCATTATAAAGAAAAAATTGATCTGACTTTTGGGTTAAGTTAAAAAAGCAAAACAGACACACTAATGCTGTGCATTAATTTCTCTATATGAGATGGAAATAAACGAGTAAATAGGCCTGCATATCTCACCAGTTTCTGCAGAGAGGCCAGCTCCTCCGGGAGGTAACACAGCCCTGTTCTGTTCAGTTTCAGCCATCGCAGGCTGCTCATGCACTTGACATGCTCAGGGAAGTAACCACCCTAAAGCAGCAGAGGGGAGAAAGAGATGAGGAAGAAATAAATGACTTCTGACAACAATGACAGTGTAAATAGCTTTTTGTAAAGACTAGTACAATTAAAGAAGCTGCAAAACACATCATTGCTGTGTTAATTATTATTGTTTAACACATTATGGCCACATTTTTACTTAAACAAGTTTACCAGGGGAAAAAAAACAAACATTATCTTGTTTATTTTTTTTCCTGAAATGTTCAACATCATTTCATTAACAACAGTTTTTTTTAAACATGGCATTATATATTCTTGTGAATACAACAAGAATAGGAGCAGTAGGTTTACACACAAACACAAAAGCAGACATTATCCTTGTTGATTTTGCTGTTATTATAGATGGGTGTGAGTTATGCCTGATTAATAACAATTTCCCTGAGGTACCCTACCAAAGGGATCAATAAAGTTCTATCTAATCTAATCATATAAAAAATCATATTGTGATTATTTTGACAGATGTTATGATAGGAGTCATGATTTAAGTGGGAGCAGCAATCACTGTACTTCTTCTCCACCGAAACAAATACAAGACTGATGTGACTAAATCTGTGATTCATACCAAACAAAGATGTTCTCTTATGCACTGATAATATGAATAGTAGGCTGGGACATCACTGTAGAATCCCAATGTTTTACTCATTAGTAGTTTATGTTGTGACACATTTATACTTTGTAGCTCATGCTGTTTGGATATTGCACTTGGCCATACTGCAACTTTTGTACTTTGATCATTTTTTCACCCCTAGTGAGTATAAATCCTAGCAGCATTTAAAAATCAGATGTTGATTAGAGTTAACGTAGCAGAAATATGGCCAGCTACAATATTTACTTTATACAAGTAGTATCGTTGATATTCAGGACGAGAAACGACAAAAGAAACAATAGAGGCAATGACAGGAAATTGTGTCATCCCACTTGGGTTTGAATCATGAGCTATAACCACCTGATATAAATACGTTGTTTCACAATGTCATAGCAGATAGCGTTAAGTACACAAATAGTTCTGTCAGTTCAAACAGCGACAAGCCAGATGATTGCAGCAGTCACTGCTGCCAGTCGTGCTGCTTTTAGTCTGCCAAAGTAAGCTCACAAAGTGTGTCAGAAGTATGACAGCACTGGGTGACTGCTGTCCCTCAGCAAGCTCTAACGTTAGCCAACGCCGTCTTCGGCCACAGCAATGTCTAACTTAAAAGCTGATAATGGTGACACGTTCTGACAAGAAGCTCCTGCCCAGCTAGAGTTAGCCAACAGTGAAGCTAAATTAGCAAGCTACCGTGAGGCTGAAAATTAGAGCTACGTTCTCCCAAACAGTTCACAAACTAAAGTAAGTCCCTTCACAGATACGTTCCAGTAAACAGAAAGCTGTTAAGCACCCCACAGGGCGGTGGTTAACAGACCGGACTGCTACTTTGTCACTCTGACAACTGGCTAACGCCCATGCTAGCAGCGACTAGCTAAGCTAGTGCTTCAGCGAGCTCAACGTGTAGCCGTCTGCTGCTGAGTGTCTTACTTGGATTAGCTTTAGCTATGCTAACTGTGTACGTTATTAAAAGGCTATCAGCACAAAACCAAAGAACAGCGCAGGAAATCCTTACTTTGAAGTCGTTTCCACTGAGGTCCACCCCCCGTATGAAGGGAAGAACTCCGGTGGCAGCCATTTCTAACTAGTTGATGCCAGCTGCTCAACCCTCAACTGTCTATTTTGGTCCACAGGCAGGGAGGGTTGTGTCTGGAAGACGACTCGTTTTGTTTTTTAAATGCAGCTCCACCACCAGCGTTTGAAGCGCATTACCGCCCCCTACTGCTTGGGAGTGGAACAGACTTCCGTGCCCTCCAGTGGTCTTCAGCGCTTATTACACATTTATGAAAATAGAATAGAATAGAATAGAATAGAATAGAATAGAATAGAATAGAATAGAATAGAATAGAATAGAATAGAAAGCTTTTATTGTCATCATTCACAAAGTACAACGAAATTAAAAGACAACTCCAGTGGTGCAAAGTACAAGCATAAAAGACAAATCGAATATATAAATACATATTTACAAAAGGAGACAGTAGGAAGTATATACAGTTTATTCTACCAGACAGTAGAATGCTAGCAGTAGCTTTTTTTCTTATTTGTTGTGGTCACTTTGCCATCAAAAGTAATCACCTGGATCTTTTGTTCCTCAGATGCTGGGACTGCATGAAGACTCCTGTGTTCACTCTTGCAGCCAACAGCAGAACATTTGGTGTGCTTTGCACGAGACATTTTAGAATTTGCAGAAGCACCTCTACAAAATAAAGAAACTCATTCTGAAAGACCTGGAAGCAGCAGGTGGTGTATTTTGCAAATATTTAGCTTGATGACCACTGGTTCCATAGTGTCCGCATAGAAACTTAATAAAATCCTGTCCGACCAGTAAACCTGGGAGGCCATCTAGTTGTAGGGGGTGCTAGAGGAACGGCAAAAGTAAGCATGTTTTTGCAACTTTAATTTACACCTCCATGTTTTAAACACATACCAAACACAATAAAAATGGATTTTTACCACATAAAATCTGAGACACCAGTATCCACATTAAACTGTGTCAATATATAACCTTTATTTTGTTTTTATTATTAAAGGAATTTTCCTTTCTTCATGTTCATGTTGAATTGAAAATATATCATCAGATATTAATATGTAATATCTGTAATCTGTAATTAATAGGTTTCCATGTTTTTAAACTCAGTACCTTTGCTAATATATTCATTAAAGACAGCTCTTTATTTCATGCAATGCGTTGTGTACATGTAAAGTCATAACAACAAAACTTGTTGAAATAAATTGACTGCTCGAAGTCTTGGGACTTGTTTGTGTCAGCTGATGAACACTTGAGATATTTACTTGCACGCCATTTAATAATTTTAAATGCGCATCAAAAACCCCACAGTGAGCTGTTTATCATCGAATACTGTCAAGTCATTCCGACACATCTGAAGCGATACCAACTCCTTCAAAATAAAGCCATTTCTCAAGAAATCCTCCGAGGCATTGTTGGAACGTCTCGTTAAGGTGTTATATTTTGAAGGCGACAGAAAACCCAAGCGTAGCACGTATTTGTGCGTGATGACGTCTTCCCCAACGTGTAGAAGCCCCCGGTAACCTGTGCGCTGTCAGAGCTCCGTAGCTTTAGCTAGCTAACTGAGGCAAGGAAAAAAAAAAAACAATAAACAAAACAAAAGCACGCTATTTTTTATTTGTAGGTTTGAATTATGGATAAGAATGCGACGCGATACAACGTACAGCTTTACATTTACGACCTTTCGAGGGGGATGGCTCGGAGCCTCAGTCCCATCATGTTAGGTAAGTATCCCGCTGATTAAAGCCGATGTTGCCTCGCCTTGTAGACGAATAAGTGATGATAATAAATACCGGCTTCCATAACGCTCATTGTAAAGCTGTTATAGCAGCACCGAATAGTGATTTTTTTTGTTAAGTTGTGGAGTTCAGGTCATTTGTTTTGCTAATAAATACAAAAAATGACAGATTTATGGTCGAGAAACGGTTCAATTTGGTCGCTGCTGGACGTCAAACTGCTGCTTTTATAAGAGATCATCTGCTTCCTCCTTCTCTTACTGGGTTATTTTCTCTCTTTCTGTTGCAGGAAAGCAGCTGGATGGTATATGGTGAGCTCCTGAGTCATGACACAATTTGCTTGTCATGTAACGTGTGGATCTATCAGATGTAATCTAGTGACTCATTTCTGTTCAGGGCAGATAACAGAAGCAGAGGGGTGTTAAAACAGCTCCCAGTGCTGTGTCTGTCTCTGTTTATTATTGTAGTTTTGTGGTTCTTGCTTTGATTTTGTTGAAATTATGCAAAATCACAAGAGTGAAATGTAATTACAGAGACATGGTGAGGGTGTCATTGCAACAGTTTGTCATTAATGCACGTTAATCAACCTTTCATTTTTAATCAAGAATTACCCAAATGCATCATGACTGTATTCATTGAACTAATTTGTGATTTGTTATTGAGTAAAACCGAGTTGTTTCTACCTGGGTTCACCCCCTTCAATCATTTTGTGTTTATTGATGTTTTCCAGGCACACAGCTATAGTGGCATATGGTGATGAGTTCTTCTTCGGAGGGGAGGGGATCTCCAGCTGTTCACCGGTAAGAGTGTGACTCCTGCTTATCAAGTATTGTCATGGAAAATATAGGCCCTCTACCTCCAACTGCTGCTGAAGATAACAGAGTCATCATTTTGGCTGGCAAACTTGTGGGGCCCTTCCACCCGACATAAAAAGCTACACAGAACCTCTCGTGAAGTAGCCACATTATGCCTGCAAACCAAACAATACAACAGATTAATACCATACCATCCATCTCAATGTATAATAGTATTAAAACTAAAATCCCTAATTGTAATGTTGCTTCAGTTTGTGAGTCCATCTATCTGACTTCAATCTGTTTGTTTCTATTCAAGACAGTATATTCCTCAATAATCTTTGAATAAGTGCCATTTATTCTCATATTGTTTTTATTATTGCTACATAATTTCATAAAACAGCTTTCTCTCAACAACCCAGACAGGAATAAACAGTGCATTTGTGGAAACTAATTTCAGTTGCGGATTTGTTTGTATTGGTGCTCTGCCGAGTGTTTATGGTGCCCATGTTCATGGTAATGGAAAACATGTCACCTAGTGCAATTAGTGATGTGTTTTTATGGTTTCTGCTTTTGTTAATTTCCGTTCCGATCCTCAGATTTATGAATCCTGCGAGTAAGAAAAGACTCGAACACTGTTTTAGACCAACGTCAGTGAGTTGGTCAGTGTCTTCTGCAGTTCTGATAGAATGCTTTCTGTTTTGTGAGACGTTTTCTTTGTGTTTGTCAGGGTGGGACTATGCTGGGGCCTCCGGACACGGTGGTGGAGCTAGGTGAGACTGAAGTGTCCGAGGAGATCTTCATGGAATACCTCTCTTCCCTGGGAGAAAGCACATACAGGTTGAGAAACTTATTTACATAACCAGTGCATAAAGTTTCAAAGCAGACACGTGTTAACATGACACATAGTAGTAACCCTTGAAATAGAAGGAATCTTGACACAAAGGCAACTCTCTTGTGTTTTCTCTTGGTTCAGAGGTGACAGGTATCGTCTGTTTGAGCACAACTGCAACACTTTCACCAACGAGGTGGCTCAGTTCCTGACGGGCCGGCCCATCCCCTCCTACATCACTGACCTTCCATCTGAAGTCCTCTCCACGTGAGTGTGAAACTCGGCCCATCAGCTAACAGCACGTTCGGTCGAGTCAGTGGTATTAATTTGCCCTTGCTCACCACCACACATCATACCGTGCTTGTGTCCTTTTAAACATCGTAGCAAGACACTGGCTCACTGGCAAGGCCTTGAAAGTGAAAGCAAAAGTTGTCATTTTGCTTCTCAGGTAAAATGAAAATACATGTTAGTTAATAATTAAATATAGATATCATGTCATATCTGGTTTATTATAACATTCTTGTTCAGTGTAGTCATACAGTCTTGATTGAAGGTGAAAGTTTACATGATTTAAACCTCAGAGGAGATTTGTCATAACTGTGTGCTGGCTGAGCGTCTTCCACAGTGTTGACCTGTTTTGAAGGCTCATTTTGGTTTCTTTTTAGCTTGGTCACAGCCGAGGCACAAGTTTTACCACAAATTCACTGTGACTTTGCTGCATTTAAGAAAGGACACACATCACTGGCTGCTGCTACGATCCCGACCGTGCTCAGTGTTTATACTGTAGCTGAGAAGCACTGATCATATTTCAAAACCTGCAGAAATTTCAGCTGATCATTTTCTGTAAAGGTGCCTCAATGCGTGGAAGCAGGTTCAGAGTGGTTTATGGTAAATGCCACCTTGAATGTGGTGATTTTCTCAAAAAAACATCGCTTTGCTTTGTTAGGGTGTAATGCAAATATATCTGTTAAATGTAAAGACCGTAATCCGATGCACTTAAACTACAGTCAAAAACAAAAACTGTCACGTTCTAATCATAATAATATTAAATGACATTGAATGATGGGCCTAAAAAAGGGCATTTTTTAAAATATGATTCTGTTCAGAGTCGGGTTCAAGAGTGGGGTTTTTTTCAGGGCTGATACTGATACGATTATTAGTTATTAGTAATCAGTGATACTAAACAGCAATTTTGAAAGCTTTGAATAAGAAAAAAATAGTTGAAATGTCTGTATTTATGTCTAATTTAAACAGAAATTTTCAGCATTTATGCTTCAGTGTTGATAGGCTATTGAGAAAGAGACCAAAGTAGTGCATTTTAAAATTCATTTGTTTTTATTAGGAATTGGTTCCAAAAAGGGCTGCAGGGTGGTGCAGTTGGTAGCACTGTTGCCTCGCAGCAAGAAGGTTGCCGGTTCGCGTCCCGGTGGGGGAACCAGGATCTTTCTGCGTGAAGTTTGCATTTCTCCCCGTGCAGCGTGGGTTCTCTCCGGGTTCTCCGGCTTCCTCCCACACAGTCCAATAACATGTTGAGGTTAATTGGTGATTCTAAATTGTCCGTAGGTGTGAATAAGTGTGGCCCTGCAATGGACTGGCGACCAGGGTGTCCCCTGCCTTCGCCCTAAGTCGGCTGGGATAGGCTCCAGCCCCCCCGCGACCCTAGTGAGGATTAAGCGGTGTATAGACAATGGATGGATGGATGGTTCCAAAAATGTACCAATACTGATAAATCACCCAGCCAGACAATCCATCAGCCTTCTAGTTTAGAGTGTCAAACCTCTTGTTTTTCCGCCTCCAGACCGTTCGGCCAGATACTGCGACCCATTCTGGACTCTATTCACATCGCCCCTCCGGGAGGCAACGTCATCAACGGGGGAAGAAACATCTAATGTGAGATAGCAGCAGAGTGTTCTCCAGGTCACTTCCATTGTAGTCAGTCAGTGACAAGTCGTAAAACTAATTTTCTTTCTTTCTGTATATAAACTACTGACTAGAAATTAATGGCTTATGACGTACGGAGGAGAGGGGAAATCACTGCCCATCTCGAGGTAGTCACTGGACATCAAATTATACCTGGTTGTTTAACTTTTTCAGAAAATAACAGAGTATATTTAATCAAGAATTATGCAGAACAGATTTGAGAAACTGCAATATTATTTACATTTTGAAGAATCTAATACTACTATACAGTACATACTTTACAGTATATCTGATTGCTGTAATAAAGCCACCTACAACATTAAAATACCTCTTGCACATTTAGTGCGTCAAGCTGACTGAGCACTTTTGTACTGAGGTACAGAATGCTCCTCGAATGTTAAGTTAAAAGTTAAGTTTTTCCCACATTTTGCTGTTTATTTGATATTCTAGTTTCACCACTAACATCTTTCCTCACATATCAGTGAATTCATCATATGCTGTTCTGAGAATCATCTGCTGCTGACTACAGTGGATTTAATCTGAGTGCACACTTTGATGTCGATATGTTAAGTATCGGATGCAGAAAGCAACAAGAGGATGGCTGATTCTTGGAGGGTCTTTTAATGTCAATTACATTTTGATTTTGCACTTTTTGTTTCGTTTTTTGTTATTTTGTAGCTTCTAGATCATTTTTCCATCAACAATTCTTTTTGTACCTTTAATCTTTGTCTCTACTGTTTGTGTTTAATTCATTGTGGTCGCCTACTTATATTATAATTCCATTTTGTCACAAAGCGTATGACGTGATATACAGCAGGTGATTGATGCCTAACTCGCACAGAGGTTTTTAAGATTGGAGGTGACACAGGACTTGTTCTTGCTTGTGTACCTCTATAGCAGGACTGGGATCAGTTCACTGTAAATTCTCTGTATATGCAAGCGAACCCCCGGCCGTCGTTAGTTAAATAGCAGAGATGATTACAAAATCAAGCAGGGCAGGCTGAAATAGAGGGCGCACAGCTCCATGGTGCTGCCAAATAACCTCCCACACAATTTTCTGAAAACAAACAAAAACACAGTATTTAATTTTTATTTTTTTTTGTTATTTCTGATTCAACCGAATATGTTTTACCAGATTGTGCTTTTTTGGTATTAAATCTACTCTTGCATAATTGAAAGTGAACCGCACCGCAGTCCTGTTATATGACAGATAAGTTGTCATAGGTGCCTCCTCATGTGTGTTACCAGCTCCAGAGGGGAGATGCCGATCATAGATACATTTTTATATATAGATATATTTTTAAGACTACATGTGTTCCAGATGCCATATGAAAAATTCTAACCAGTACCACATTCACGGATTTATTTCAAGATAAAGGTGACCACATGCACATGTACTTTTAACCGAATAACAACAAGCTTGAGTCCTTTAAGAGCCACCAGAGTGTGTTTGAAATACAATACACCTCTGTGCCTTCATTTCCCTCCGCAGTCACACCGTTGGGAGTTGGCATGGTTATCATATAGCACATATGGTAGCCTCCCATGCAGCCTGCATTAAGAATCTGACACCTTTATTTATAAACCTTGAAATACACAAACTAGGTGAAAGGAGTTCAGAGTAGGATGGAGCTTTCAACAATATTCATACAAGATGTGGTGCACACCGTGTATTAAATGTAAAATATTTCAGATTTAACAACATCTGGATCCAGCAAGTCGCACAGCCTATAATCTTGGTGCATCATACGCTGCACTCTGCCATCAGTAAGAACACATAGCTGTCTAATTTTATCATAGCGCAGTAGATCACGCGTTTTAGGATTTATCAGACTCACAAACCACGCTGAACCTCACAAGCCTTTTCCTGCTTAAACAGCGTGACTGACGATAGAAGCATAGAAAAAAAAGATCTAAAACAAATGTGACTAAACCAGCATTAACTCATTGTTTTCTCTGACTTTGGTCAAACCCAAGCGCAAACTTGGATCGGTGCGCTTTTCAATTCTTTCTTTTCTCGAGGTTAGCCTGATCTTTTGTGAGCATTTGGCTACTTTTAGAGGATAATAAATCGAGATCAATCCCCTTCAAGAGGCTAGAAAGCTCAGGTGAGTCTGGGTTCTGTGATTTTGCCTTCTGCTAACCAACTAACTGACATGCTTACCTGACTGCTGAAATGTATTACTGCACATGTTCCCCTTTGTTGCTCTGATGTACGTTGTTGCTGACTGCTACTTGTAATGTGAAAATATTTGCATCAGATATTTATGGATATTATTTCCCAATTTAAGTAATATAATATATGGTAGATATATTTATGAATATTGTTTGTATCATTTGTGTAATTGTTTTTTTTTGTAATTCTACCAATACATAAAGCCATTGACTGCAAATGTGCTTGTGTTTGTGTTTTACTTTTAATACTGTCACTGACACTTTGCAGCATCAGATTATTGCAGATGTGTGAGTTGTTGGTGGAGACTTTGATCAGTTATGTATGTATTAAAAAAAAACAAAAAAAAACAGCCAATGTACGAACAAAAATTAAAAAGTGAAGCGACCAGATCTTAATACAATCCCTGCAGCAAGCAGTTATGAAGAATGACCCTTTATTCAAATGTTAATGCACTGTGACTTTTTAATTTCATAGAAGTGGCACCTACTTACAAAGGTTCAATCTCATTAACTCATTAAGCCCTAATTGGATTTGTTTGGAGGCTGGATGATTTGGATTAGATGGAAACAAACTACAGTGAAATTCTCTCGCTCCTCAAATCTGGTGGAACCGCCCGATGAACACGGACTCCTCCGAGCAGCTGGCTGATCTGAAAACGAGGCAAACTGATGCCTAGAAAGAAGGGGAAGGCTGTTAAAAGCGTTTCCAGCTGGGCATTTCTGCTGTCTGAAATGAATTAAGAAATGTCATTTAAGGCGATGACCCAGAGTAGTCATACAAGCACTGCAGCTATCATGGAAAACATCATTAGATCCATTGTATTTGAAATTCCCAACGTTAAACCAATACAAATGCCTGTATTAAAAAAACAAAAAAATATCATTAATATTATTATTTTTGCTTTGTGTTTTCGTGTTTTTCCTACTGAGACATGTCAGAATGTATTCAGAGGAAAAAAGCTTTTCTGCCAATCCATCCTCTGCCTTGCCAACAGTTTGAAGCCACGAGCCTCATTTGGACCTCATTTTGATTGTTTCTTCTTTTTGTCACCCAATACAACCACCAGAGGTCTCCAGATAATTAGAAATGGTGATTGTATTTTAATGACTTCAATTTGACACAGTTACAACAAATAGGAGCTCATCTCACAAGTTGCAAACAATTAAATTATCACAAAATAAATCTTTGAAAACAACTCAAATCTCCAATGTCCCTGGCATTTAAACCATTTTTAAAAATGTTTCTACATGTATTAGACTTATTTGAATTGGGAGTATTTACTAGGGAAAATAAATTAATTTAGTTTCTATTATGAATCAAACTGGAACTTTAGGAAATGAGAAATAAAAGTCTGAAACTGGTGAAGGATTCCACAGCTCACATATGATGACTGTGAAGTCCTTTAATATGCAAAATACCGACATGTGATGCTTGTTTACTGGGGAACTTCCTGGAACCTACACTTTCCAACAAACAAGCATTAAACAGCACAGACCAATAAATGCCACAAAAAAATGTATTTCGACCAGAGCCAAACATGTTCAGATTTCTCAGAACTCAATGGAAAATCCCCCTGTAGCCCGAAGAGCTGTGTCTAAGTTTGGCCTGAGTTCCCCAGGCTTGTTCCCTGAGACGTACCAATCTCTAAATAGAAGAAAAATAGATCATTTAATGAGAACTCACGCACACTGAGAGAATTTTTGGAGCAGAGGTTTTCCTTCACCTTTAGGCCAGATTGCTGAAAGCAGTGGAAGACTAATCACAGCTCACAGGGTCTGAGGTGCTTGAACAAGGAGCTGTCATGTGTGAGACTGATGAGCCTGCAGAACCTCTGGACTGTGTGTTCGCTGATCAGGGTGGAGCTGTAGTGCAAGAATGTTGTGCATTTATCTTTGACTACGATAAAGGTGCTCCGATGGCGAGAAGTCATAATCGAGATGAATTTTCTAGTGTTTTTAGTTGGATTAAGAGAAAGATGAAACATGCTTTTTTTGAGGGGATATTTTTTGTGTGTGGATTTCTGTTCAGTCTTGTGTTAAGTTTGTCATTTCTGCAGCTTGCAAATCAACAACACGTCCAAGTGTGGTGGTGATAGGAGAGCCAGGTGAAGGAGAAATGTGTGCAAGAGATAAAGAGAGTCACCACCAATCCCGAACCCATATCTGTAAGTACGGCTTATGCTTTACAACCCATACAGAGTTAGGTTTAAGCTGCAGAACCAAGTAAGTCTGGACACTTGTAATTCCCTGAATAAAGACCAGTGATCAGTCAGTGGAGCTGCAAGTCTGCACATCATCCAGGAACTCATGTGAACGCAGTCACTGCCAAAATACATGGTCAGGTCATGGGATTTTAAAAACTGTGGCCTCCTCAGTGTCTTCCAACGCCTGAAGTTACAGCTGGGAGAAACATCACAAGTTGTGTTTTCATCCATGACAATGCAAATGTTTGCTACTTCAGAAGAAATCATTATTGAATAAATAGCTTCAGACTAAACTGACCAAAACATTCAAAGCTCAGATAGATTGAAAAAATATTTGAACAATATCCACTTTTATATGTAGTTTGAGTTGAGAAAAGCCGCACTGGAACATGAGAGGTGGTGTTGATGAAAGTGTTCTGGAGTCCATCTGACAGACCTGTGGGGTTACCGTCAGATGAAAGGGCTGCTCTGTTAGTGAGGGGGGCTCAGATTATTCTTTTTGAGGACACTTTTTTTTATTCAGTTCACGTAAAGCATTCATTCTAATTCATGCTCCAACTCGTTTTTGTGGCACGACTGTTTGGAAAATTTCAAAAAGTTAACCTGCTATTTAGGCTAAACAGTGTTGAGAAGTAGGTGAAATATCACACATAAGTCAAAACAATATTATTGAAATATAATGTTGGCAACATTGGACCTTAGCTCCATTTAAACCGCAACCTCGACTTCTTATCACACAGACGGCTAACAAGTCCAAATTGTTTTTAAATTGTGAAAATGCTCCATTTTTAAAATGCCCTGTCTGTTCCAAATGCAGCATCTGAGAAGTTGCTGGATGTGTAGGTTGAGCTACACCAGTGGATGGTGTTTTTCACTATGAACGAGGTGTGGTTTTCTCATTGAATCATGACTGAGAGTCCATCTGAATCTCTTGTTCCGCTACTCACCAACAGCTCGGTCACTCCTTTGGCTCTGGCCTGTCTCTACTCCCAGTCCAATTCATGGGTCAGAGCGAGGATTTGACAAAAAACTCTGCAAATGAAGCACCTTTTGAGTCACATGAGACAAACAGAAGAAAAAAGCAACTCATCTGTGAAGGGAAGTGAGCGTGAATACATAGTTCCTGAAAGAGACGTCATACAACAACTGTCTAGCTGAAACTACATCAGGACAGAGATGGATTCTGATCACAAGTTTATGATATTTAAACCCTGAATCAGCACTGGAGCGAGCATGAACCTACTAATTTATATGTTTGCAACGAGAGATGACTGACGTTGCACAGAGCAACCTTCCATCAGTGTGGGTCCTCTCTGGAAAAAGGAAAAGGTTAATAGGAAAAGAAGTTATTTTACCAAACAGCAGAACTGTTGTGTGATAAAGATGAATTTGAAAACATAATGAAAACATATGTGTTTGCAGTGTTGAAGCTCTGTATATTCCCCTGGATAATGTAGTTTTTGAACTAAATGAACCAACACTAACAGCCTCTGATGCTAGAAGACCTTACATGAGTTCACAACAATATTAAAGTTAATCATTATCCAATCGTTTAACCTTCATCACAAAAACATCCTGGATCTCATCTGTACTGTGCGCTGTCAGTTTGTCAACTAACCTCTGCTGCATCTGTCGTGATGTCAGAAGAGACATCACTCTTCCAGATGGTGGATTTCTCACCTTGAAGGTAAACTGTTGTGCAAACAGATGTGGAGCAGAATCGCTCTGTGGCCTTTCAAGCAGCACCCCGCGAGAGAAAATGAATGCACCCAGACCTCAGCCGTCCTCGCTCCCCGCGGTTAAGTAGCTGAATCAGCTCGGTTAGTAGCACAGTTATGAGTGCGCATGTGACATTTGACAAACGGTAACCTTCTCTGCAACTTCAAGGGTACCGTCGGGCTGGGCCAAAGTTGTTCGCATGGCAGTACCTCTGTGACGAAAACCCTGTGAGTCACACCGAACCTCCTGCTGCGGTGACAAATCCTTCCATGACACGTAGGGGTGACTTGGCTTCTCTTCCTATAGGCTCTGTTTTAGCTGTGCAAAGTTCATTTACCTTTTAGCACTGAGATTTCATGTTTAAAAAAATGTTTGAAAAGAGCTGCCTTTTATCTTGCAGGAAAAATAAAGTGAAAAAAAGTGAGAAAATGTTTGTCGACCACATAATACCCGACATGCTTTACATGATTCTATTAGCCTGCATGAAGTGCAGCTTTAATTCAATAAAAACAAGAGTAGCACAATAACTACAGAGGAATCACAGTTTGTACTGTGACATTTTTAATGACAAATAAGCAATTTTATGACTAGGTATGCCCTGTTTCCTCTTTAATTCTTGACAAACTAAAGGAAAAAAAAGTCTAGAATTAGTTCTAAGTGTTGCATTTGGTAGTTGTTTTACTGACTGCACATAATTAAACTAACTACATAATATAACTGTTTAGAAATCATTGTGTGAATGTAACGTCTGAGCGACTGGATTCAATTTTGGAAGATGGGAAATCTGCATGAATTGATTTTGCATGCAACATTTCAAATTTTGCAAATCAAGGCCAATACTCGCTCCCCTGAGCAAAATATTCAACTGTTTAACTGGTAGATGTTACACAAGATACCCAGCAGCATACTACATTTGTGTGTGCATGTAAAACATCAAGTGATCTCAAAAAGCAGCAGGATTCATACTCTGGATACCATAAGTGTCAAATTTTGTGTAAATCCATCACATACTGAGACGAGACCGACCAATGTTGTCGTCCATAAAGTCACTTGATTATTGTGTTGAAGAGCTGCTGTAAAAATAATGCTGACATCTTAAACCTACATTCACATTTCCAGCTTTCTTTAATCGTGTAAGTGGGACAAACTGTGAAGAGCTTGAGAGAAAAATAGTTCTACACAAACCCAAATGGATTTTGTGCCTGCAAATGGCGGCGATTCAACAGCACCAACCAGAGACCTTCTGATTTGCTACATAGCAGCGCTCTCAAAGTGTGTACGTGCGTTGATGCCTG